TTATTATAGAGCACACTATTATATACAGGGATGAATAAGAGATTTGTAGAGGTGGACAATGAAATCATGAGTAAAGGCAAAGGCGTACGTACGGAGTGCAGCTATTAGTGGAGAGACAGGCAAATAATGGAATAATGTCAAATATAATTTTTATTTTTAGTCTACTACCTTTAAGGCGTTTCTGACAACTTTGTGTTAAATTTCTGGTAGGATTTGTTAACCTTCTTAACCACTTGTTAACCACTTTGCTGATGATACTAATCTAATACTAATTAATAAATCCCTTAAAAAAATTATCAAACACATTAACCATGATCTTGCCAATCTAGTTCAGTGGCTCCAACAAACTTTTTCTAAACTCTAATAAAACTGAACTCATTATCTTTAAATCAAATAAAACAAAAATCTATAAACATATGAAATTTAGATTAAGTGGCGAAAAAATTGAACCTGTTAACTCAATTAAATATCTTGGTATGAAAATCGATTCGAATCTTTCCTTTTTATCCCACTGTAAAGACTTAGCAATGAAACTAAGTAGATCTAATGGTATGTTGGCCAAAATTCGCCATTATGTTAATTTTGAGACACTCTTGAACATATACCATGCTATTTTTGGCTCACATCTTAGATATTCATGCCAAGTGTGGGGGCAGTCCCATCAACAAGCTCTTATTAGGTTATCCCACCTCCAAAAACAAGGCTTTAAAAATAATTCATTTTCAGAATATTAAATTTAACTCTAATGTGCTCTACCTAACTTCTAAAGTATTAAAACTATGTGACTATATTCAACTTTTAAACTGTCAATTTGTCTGGAACCACCAACAAAATAACCTACCTTTAACTTTCATTAATTTCTTTTCCAAAAGTGCCAACAATCGTTATCACCTTCGTTCAAATAGTATTTTAAACCTGTCTGTCTCTAAATACCGCTCTCATAATTACGGGCATTAATCCATAAAATATCAAAGCACTTAAACTTGGAACAACTTTTCTAATGAACTAAAAACTCTCAATTCATTCTTAACCTTTAAAACTAGTTTATTCTACTTTTTATTAAAAAAATATTGTTAATGTTTATAATTTCTATAATCTTTTTTGTTGTCGTAATATATATATATATATACATATATATATATATATATATATATATATATATATATATATATATATATATATATATATATATATATATATATATATATATATATATATATATATATATATATATATATATATATATATATATATATATATATATATATATATATATTTATTACAGTTTCTATTTTATATTTTTTAATTGATTATTGTTATTTTATTATTTTTACTAATATTTACTATTGATAACTACTTTTAACTTTTATTATTACTAATACTAATATTGTTGTTGTTGTTGTTGTTGTTGTTGTTGTTGTTGTTCTTCTTCTTCTTCTTCTTCTTCTTCTTCTTCTTCTTCTTCTTCTTCTTCTTCTTCTTCTTCTTCTTCTTCTTCTTATTATTATTATTATTATTATTATTATTATTATTATTATTATTATTATTATTATTATTATTATTATTATTGTTATTATTGTTATGACATCGTTATTTACATTACATCGTTATTTTATGTTATAAAGTTTATTATCGTTATTATATATTATGAAAATTAGCATTATAATTATTTTAATTAGACATTATTAACATTAGTAGGTGTTTACTTTATATTAGTATACTTACTATTTGTAAACATACTTGAATGTAAAACCTTAATTCAGAAATAAATGATTGATTGATTGATTAAATATTTAAATAAATGGAAATGAAAATGGCGTTTTAGCAAGGCGTAATATTTTCTTTTCGCGCAAAACCGTCTAACTAAGCGGTTTAAAGTATTTTCATAACTTTTAGAAATTTCACGATCTTTTTTTTTCACTCGTTTCCATTTATTTTATTGCGCATAGGTCGGAAGTCAGACCAAAAACTTTTACCTTTCTCGCTAATATTTGAGCTGTTTAGCGCAACAAACGCCTAATCCACAATTCGGTGTAGTTAAGGCGATTTACAAGTTATTTGAATTCTTTTATTTGAAATTAGCATGATTTTATAAGCATATTATGTCCAAACAAAAGCTTTAGATATTATAACTTTTTTTGCTTCAGGTTTTTCTAATATATTTTTTTTTACAAATTCAATAAATTTACACATCGTTACGTTATAACTACATGACATAATATAATGCAACGCAAAAAGTATATCATAATAATACCACGTATAACATATAATAAATAGTAAATTAATAGTGTTTTTTATCATAAAAACTGCCAGTATTTTTAAAAAATAAAAGAATAAAAATAAGAAAAGTAAAAAAAAAAGACAAGAAATTTTATATTACTTCAGAAATATACATGCTGTTGTAAAGAAAAACTCGTAGAAGTTTAAAAAGACTTATCATCGAGTACTTCTTTAAATGGTTAAAAAGTCTTATTTGTTTTTATATATAGTCGAAAGTGGTTAAACAATATACAGTCAATGATGCACATGAATATTTTAGTTTAATTTTTAATATAATTTTTAATGTTAAGTTTAATACATGTCGATATAACTGTTGATATTAAGTATGAGGTGTTTTAACTTATTTTTCAAGGTGGCAGAATTGTTTAATACTGGATATTATTTTGTTATATAGAAACGGACCCTGCTTGGAAATAGAAAACCGTGAGAACTTTGTTGTTCTTTTAGACAGTGTGAAGTTGCCTCTTGCTTTTGTTATATATCTATTAGAGTTTACTTGAAAGAAGTTATCTAAAAAATGCGATGGGGCTAATTCAAGTTTGTATTTAAGCATAAATAGTACATTTTGGTAGATATTGATTTATTAAACATTTATTGCATTCAAGATTTTTAGTAAGAGTTCAGCATGGGTGAGTTTAACTTTATTATAAAATAATCTTGATGCATGTTTTTAACTTATATAAATAGTACTCAGTTGGATTTGTGTGTACTTAGCGTACGTAAGATAACTTTGTATGTAAGAAAAATAAAGCGATTTAAGATTATGCTGGGACAAGATAGGTTTAACTTTGTAGAGTATTCCAAAAATTTTTGCAATTTTGGTGTTTATTGTACTTATATGGGCTCTCCAAGATTTACTTTTGTCAATAAGTATCCCAAGAAATTTAGTTGTTTCTGTTCTTTCAATGTTTACCTTATCTATTTTTAGTGAGGGAAGGATAGTTGGTATTTTAATTTTTTTAATTATTTTTTTGTTTTTTGGAATGAAACAATATGTATTTTGTGTATTTAGTGATAAGTTATTTAATTTCAACCATATATTTAATCTTTAAAGCTCTTTTTTTTAAAGGTCTTTAATTGAGTTCGAGGAATAAAATAAGTTTGTGGCTTCGGCAAACATAATTACATCAAGTTTTTCCAAGGTTTTTTAAGGTCCTTAACAAATAAAAGAAACAGAAGAGGTCCAAGAATGGAGCCTTGGGGGACACCACACTCAACTTTTAGTAGTTTTGAGTGTTTATAATTTTCTAAAAAACACATTATTGTCTGTTACTTAAACAGTTTTTAAACCAGAGTTATGTTTTTCATCCCATAGCTTTCCATTTTTTCAAGTGAGATATTATGATTTAAAGTATCAAACGCTTTTGACAGGTCTATAAAGATGCCTAGAAGATACTGTTTTTAATCAAAAGAATCACTTATATTGTTTACTAGATCTAGGATTGCGAGTTCAGTTTAATTTTGTTTTTGGAAACCAAATTGCTTTTTATTTAGGATTTATTTTGGATTAGATACTCATACAATCTGTTATAGATTATCCTTTCGAGAAGCTTAAAAAAAGTAGGGTGTACCGATATTTATAGTTATTAATTAGATTTGATTCACCTGTTTTAAATATTGGAAACATTTGAATAAACTGTTCTCTTTTTTATATAATTTTCATAACCTTTTTACTACCCCCTAATAGCGAATCTAAAGAACAGCATTTTGGATCACTTTAGCTCATCGTACAGTGTGACATAATCGAGTTCTTTGTGTCAAAATTATTTTCTTGTTTTTTTTTATTAGAATAGCTATGTTTATATATAAAATGCATAAATAAAGTAATAAGCATGTAGTTATATATTATTAAAAAATTAAAAATAAATTTTGGTAAAAAATAGGAAGTATTTTTATTGGCCAAGACAACTTTTATCTGCGTAAACATCAAAAATATTACTTTTCAATACATTTATTTGTCATAAAAAAACTTTTTTAGATTTATATTTGCAGAAATTATATATTATAACAGTAATGAAAGATTTTTTAGATATTCTTGTGTATGAAACATCTTTTTTACATGTTCAGTATTTCTTATCAACTGACCATTAACCGAAGGCCAATGTTTTTTTATAACTTTTTTTTATTGCAAAATGTTGCAAAATATTTATGATGCATTTAAAATCATTTCACATTTTTCATTGCAACAACCGTCTAAAACTTGTTTGTTTTTGGTCTAATAAAAAAAAAGTAAGTAGAGTTTGTTGATTATATTTTATATTTTTGCAATAAAAAAAGCTTATATCATTTTATCTGCAGGAACTAATTTGTATCTTCAGATTTTCTCTGATCTTAGAAAAGAACAAAACTCGCAAAATTTGAGGTATTTTTACTAATAAGCCGTTCACACAAAACCTTTTTTTTTAATATCAAGTTTCCAGTTGCGCCATAGTTAAAAAAAAAGACGTTTTACAGTTGGATTTTATGAATTGCAGTTTTTTCAATGTTAAATAACTTTTATCATATTGTGTAATATCTAAATACGTTATACAACTTTATAACAATTGCATAATACTTCTACAAAATTTATTAATACAATCGTTCATAATTAACTATGATAATCGACGATTGTTGAAGATTACAAAAATTATAATTCATTAACATCATTTATTTAGCAAAAGCATTGATCGATTTGTTCCTTTTTTTCTTAATCTTAGGTAAGATAAGAAATAGCAAACAAACAAACAAAAATTTCATATATTTAATCTAGCTATTGACACAGAGTTCATAAACTTTAAAAATATGTATAAAAAATAAAATAAAATCAGTTAATAAAAATAAATAAATGGCTACAAAGCATAAACATATTTAATACAACTTTTTACTGATTTTTCAAGTATAGAAAAGATTGTCAACAAAATTCAGTGATTAATAAGAAAGCTAATAAATATAGTAAATTAATAGAACAAAGCCTAAACCTAGAATTACAATAACATGAACAGTCAACAATACAAGAGCAAATAGCGTCAATACAAGATTTCGTAAAATTATAAGTACAGAGAAAGTTTAACTCGAAAACCAAATAGCTCAAATTTCTATTATAATTTCCTTCACAACTGTTGAAACTTTTAATTTTTGATTAAACATAATATTTGAACTATTTAACTGGGTCTCATGGAGGTCAGAGTTAATTGTATTTAACTGTAACTTTAATTTGCTCAAAAAATTGGCGCTAGATGTTTTTATCAGTTTTAAGATAAAAACAGTACAGCATTACGCAATAACTGCTTACATTCTATAAAAAGTTAAATACAAATAAATATTAAGTTGAATTTTTTTGAACATTATTAGTGTTCAATCCAGAAGAAACACTGTAGTATGAATCAAGAAAGGCTGTTGTTATTTCTGTTATAATAGAGCGATCAGGAATTTGTTGAGATAATCCATAAATTGCACCCTAATATAACATTGTAAAAAAAAACATATCAACTTGTAATAACCAGATTTAAAAAAACAAAAAAAAAACAAATTAAGATTCTAGAGCTCACCTGGCCTTCAGCTTTTTCAGATGGATTTTTTATGAGGCGTGCGGCAACTTCTTTAATATCATTAACAAATCGGTCTGCTACGCCATCTTTTGTATGACGCATTGTGATAGCTATATGGATTCTAAAAAAAAAAAAACAAAAAAAAATTTAATATACACTGCAATCATAAAACAATGCTAAGAAACTTCTACAAGTCTGGACGCACTTACCCAGATGGAAACTGTAAAGGATTCAAATGCCATTTTTTCTTTTTCAGTTCGTTAGACATCAAAAAAATGTCAAAAATATCAGAAGTAAAGGAAACCACTGATACATCGACTGCACTCATTAACTTTATTCCAGGTATACGCTCAATTCTATAAAATAAAAAAAGTTTAGTAAAACAGTGTCTTCCCTGAATTTCCATCTAAATTTTTTCTTTTTACCAGCTTTTAAGATTTTTTTTATTTCAATACATAATTGGGAACACATTTTCTTATTATTTTATATTGAAATATGTAAAAAGTTATATTGAAATATGCAAAAATCATACGCTAAGATTCATGTAACATTATGTGTGATTAGTATTTTAACAGATTGGAAACAAATTTTTTCAAAAGTAACAGATTCGAACAAACATTTTGGAAACAAACAGATAAGATAATTTTTTTTGTGCGAAACGTGTTTTATAAAACTGTTATACCATTTATTAAAAAATTCAAATTTATATTTATATTGTAATTATAATTTCATTTATTATTAAAATTGTAACTGTTTGCATGAAACATGATGTCATGCTAAAATAGCGAATAACTTTAGTACATAAATTCACTGTAAGTTAAAATTTTATCTACATATCTACAGACAGTGTTTGGATAAGATAGAAGATAATGTCTATCTAATATATCTCATTCATATGTTAACATCTCCTACATGTGTAAAAAAGTGTACAAAATAAATTACTGCTGCTTTTTACTATTTATAACAAAATAATTTTCCAAAACATTTTGACAGATAAAATTTAATCACTGAGTTTATGTGACACTGATAAAAATTTTAATAAAAAATTCTTACTGTTATTTTATGTTACGTATGATATAACTTTACTTTTGATAAAATAATTCTTAATATTATTCTTACTGTTATTTTATGTTACGTATAAAATAACTTTATTTTTGATATAATTTGAAACTTTTAACTTTTAAAGGCAGGCCTCAATATTTTACATCTCTTGCATCAAGAGTCAAGCACTTTTACTTTCCATCAACTGGCATTTTTTCCAGATCAACTGATTACCAAGCTAGGTTGTAATTAGTTGACGTAGATAACCCAATTTAGTAAACCCTTATTTACCTCTGTTCAGTAAACTCTGATCTATGTAGTCCACTTTTGATCTATGTAGTCCACTTTTGTGTTTTTTTTTTTGCTTATTACTCAAAATTGTTCTTTTGTCATTTATTTATCTTGAAAAAAATTTTAAATATATTACTTCAAATTTTTATATCCTGAATAAAAATTTATGTAAAAATTTTTTTTGTGGTGGTAAATTTTAATAAATGTAATTAATTTTTTTATAAATGCACTAAAAAAATATGATTAAAATAAAAACATGTTAATATCGTTATTAACAACATAAAACAGTTATAACCAGCTAATTAACAGTTATTGATATGCTCTTAACTTTATGCAATATATTTAATCTGACCCAAGTGTCAAAACAAAATAATAATAAACGATAAAAAAAATAAAATAACTTGAATATTTTAATTTTAGATTAATAGACAACTTTTATAAAAAAAGAATTTATCTATTTTCTATTAATCTAATTTCAATCAAGGTAGCAGTATGCCCTCGGAATCTTCAATCAAGGTAGCAGTATGCCCTTGGAAGCATAAGAATAGGTATCTGACCTACAAGTTTCTGCAAATATCCTGAATAAACATGCATTGCCATTGCTGTTATAGATGTTTGAAAAAAAGCAAGGATTAAAGATTTTATCATCAATGAATCCAGTGTTAGAAATAGTTGCTTGGAAGAAAGCAGGATTTTTAGGTTTCATTAATGGGTCCAGAAATAGTGCTACAAATAACACAATTGTTATTTAATTCAATAAAAATTAAACTAACTTAAAAAAAAAGTTAGTAAAATAAATCTTTGAAATAAATAGAACATTATGGCAATGCAATTAGAAAAAATATAACAATATGTACTCTGTTTAGAAAACTGGAACTTTATCTCATATCTAGAATCATAACATCAAAAAAATATTAGATTCATCATATTTCTCATAGAGATTAAATTAATAAAGAATAAATATATGAAAGATGAATTTAAATTAGTAAAAATATACGAGAGAGATTAAATTAAAAAAGAATAAAGATAATTTAGTAAGGAAAATAAAGGAATCGGTTTCAAATATTAAAGTTTAAACAAAAAAAAAAAATTAAAAAAAAAAGATATTTTAGTAGTTTAAGTAAAAATAAGGAATGAAAATAAAATAAGGAAAGGACTAAAGGATATAAATAAATGATATTTATTTAAAAACTTTGGCATATAAAATTTGCCTAATGAGCAGTGAACACCAGAGTTAAAAAATGAAGTACATATGAAAAAAAGGTCACACACAAGCAGTGAACGCCTGAGTTAAGAAATGAAGTACATGGGAATAAAGGAGAATTATTTATTAGACAAAGCACATTTTGACAGTTGTTAAGACAAAAATAAAGATTAATAGAGGAGTTTTTAAAAATAAATAAGACAGGCTATACACCTAAAACAGTACTCAACAATAATAACAATAAAAAAAAAAAAATAAAAAAAAAAAAAAATATTGTTTTATAAATACCAATATGAACATTTAAAAATAATAAAAATGTAAGCGGCAGATAAACAACAAATACATCACCAGACAAAAATTTATAAAACAAAAAACCGATCACAAAATAAAAAATATGCTATCAACAATGAAAGGCCTAATAATGGAAAAAAGAAAAAAAATGCTAATGTAAAAGCATAATTTGTGTATTTCAGTAGTTTAAGTAAAAATAAAGAAAAGACTAAAGGATATAAATAAATGATAAGATTAAAAAAAAACATAAGAAAAAATATTTTTTATTTTTGCAATTAATGCCAAAATCAAAAAAAAAAAAAAAAAAATAAAACCTTAAATAAGTTAAATGAAATTAAATGGCTTTGCTTGGAATTTTTCTACAAGCAAAAGTTAATGGAAAAAAAAAAAAAATCTCTGAGTTTTAAAAATTTGTAAGAGTTTTTACAGAGATTTTACATTTTGCACGTTACTGTTTGTTTATATTAATATTTTGTTATACTTTTGATCATATATCATTAATCCTTGTTTTATCTCACTCATTCTCTTTCATGATATATATGTATATATATATATGATTTAAATGTTGACATCTTGTATGAGAGTATATATATATATAAACTAATTTAAAACATCAGATAATACGAATTCTCTCAATACTAAATAATTTATTTGAAATTTTCACCGGATTACAGGCACGGGCATCGTCAGCATATAATATAATTACAAAATTGTGACTGTTAAAGTATGAAAAAAATGAAGTCCAAAAATTTGTTTTATAAATATTGTCCATTGTCCAATTCATTACATCGTACATTGGAGAACATTGATGTTTTTATATCTCCAAGGCCTCACAGACTTTTCTTTCAAATTTTTTATCCTCAATTTTAAATGTTATTACTTTATTCCACTCAATGTCCTCATTACAACAAATTTAGGTGTAGTTGAACCCTAGTTTGTATTTAAAAGTTTTGTTTCACCAACATAAACTTTGGAGCATTTGCACTTAATTAAATAGGTTCCTGGAGTGCTGTTGCGTGGTAATTTAGATTTATTTTTAGACGTTAATAGTGTTTTTAGGTTAGCATTTGATTTAAAAACAGTTCTGTAACCAGCTTTATTCTTCTAACCAGCAATATTCTTCTAAGTTTGGGAAATATTATTGGTATCCATGGTAAAGAGATTGTAGGAAGATTATTAGAGTTTGATGGAATTTCATTTTTGTTCATAAAAAGTTTTTTTCGAACCTGATTAGAAATATCTTTAAGCATTTTTTCATCGTATCCATTTTTAGTAAACGCTTGAATTAAAAAATTTATCTCATCTTTTAAATGGTTTTCGCTACATATTGAGTATGCTCTGTGTATGTATCCGTTTAATATTGCTTTTAAAATTTTGGGATCGTGATTAAAATGAGGTTTGATTTGGATATTGGTTATTGCATCCTTCCTGTAAACCTTGAAATCATATTTTCCTTGTGTATTATTAATAACAGTTATATTCAAAAAGTTAAGAATCTTATTTTTGTTTTCAACCTCAATAATATATTTTAAAGAAGGATGTTGTCTGTTAAGAAATGTTTGGAAGTGTTCCGCTTGATGTAAGTTAGAAAACCTTGCGTGGCTATCGTCTACATATCTATGAAAGGATTTAATATCAATTAAAGGAATCATTGTTGTTGCCATTTTTATTGCCTTTTCCTCATGGTATTGTAAAAAAGATTCAGCCAAAACAACCATAAAAGACAATCCAATTGGGCCTAAATTCTCCAACTCATGAATCTTACCATTCCACAAGAAATAACAACGAAACAAACAAAGTTCAATTAGTTGTTTTGTTTCAGTTAAAGTAAGTTTAGTTTAGTTTTTGTAAGAAACCCTTTATTTAATTGATCCAAAAGTATTAAAGTTGCTTCTTTTAATGGTATTGATGGGTATAAGTTTACGATACCAAAGGATACCTGTATTTCATCCTTGTCAATTAACCACGACTTGGTTTTGCTAATAAAGTCTTTTGAATTTTTTAACTGAGAAAGATCTTAAAAATAAGATTAAATATTTCAAATAAATTATTTAGTATTGAGAGAATTAGTATTATCTGATGTTTGAAATTAGTTTATATATATATATATATATATATATATATATATATATATATATATATATATATATATATATATATAATCATTAAAAAACCATATTTAGTCAACCTTTTACTTAGTTTTACCTTGTTCCAATATTTTTTGCTGTTGATATAATTTTTCTGGTACTTTCAATGTAACCTGTAAATATTAGAAAAATAATAACCAATTATACTTTTAATTATAAAATAAAAAGCAATTAAAAAAAAAAAGAAAGTATTTGTTGTGGCTGAACTGCCTTCAGTGAGTTTAACTCAAAAATCATTTAAAGATAAGGACTTTGTTAAAAACTTTCCCAAAGCACTAAAGTTAATTTTAAACCACTGTTTTTAAAAAAAATTAGAATCTTGCAAGTTATAAAAAAATTTGTCTTAGATTATAAGACTGATTAGAGAAAATTTTTTATTACTTGGTGGAATTTTAAAATGATTTTAAAATTGATTTTACAGAAGCAGTAAAAAGTTTTTGTTTACATCAAACAAGCAATCAATATAAGTATAAAGGAAAGCAATATCAATATAAAATAATATAAATATAAATATGAGAGAACCACTTGACTTGACAATAGTATATCTGAGGTAAGAACATCGTTAAAAATTCAATTTGTATCCCAATAAAGAAAAAAAAATTAATTAAGTTTCTTATATATCAATAATACATCTCTTACAAATAAAATGGATGAATTCAAAATTGCTTGAAAATAAATAAACCCAATACATTTGAGGTTACTGAGACTTGGTTTAATAAATATATATATATATATATATATACATATATATATATATATATATATACATATATATATATATATATATATATATATATATATATATATATATATATATATATATATATATATATATATATATATATATATATATATATATATATATATATATATATATATATATATATATATATATATATATATATATATATATATATATATATATAAAAGAGTTACAACAAACTCTATGTGGAAAAGAATTTGAGCAAACTCTAGGAAAAGAGTTGGAACAAATAGCATGAACTGAATCATTAAAGAATGAAGTTGTAAGCCACATGAGTCCAAAGTGTTGTGATGGATGGCAGCAAAAACATCAATAGTGATTGTATCAAATATAGTGATTAAGGAAAATTATAAACTTCTCAGGTCGTCAACTGTCTTTTTGAAAATTAGCCTCCAGGTAATGTAATTTTTTAATATACAGAGGCTGTCTGCAGTGAGTAATGCAAAAGTAAGCTAAGCTAAAAAATTATTAATTGTGGGAATGATATTAATTTCTGAAGCCAGGCTCAACTGGATCACAACAATTTTTTGACCCATCTAATGTTAAACAAATTTGAAATTATCTAAAAGAGGTATACCTCTTGGTGACTTCTTTTCATGTTAAGAATTAGTTTGAGAGCTCATCATTTGAGTAACATTTTTTATATTTTTAAGGTACCATAAATAAAAGTTAAATTTTTTTTTTTTTTAATTATAAGTATTCATACAACTATTTTTTAGAAATACTAGAAATAAAACTGATTTAGAATCAAGTGTACATAACTCAAAGATTGGGGGTGCATATAAGAAGAATTAGAAGAATATACAATTAGGCACCATTGAACCCAAGTAAGTGACTTTGTTGTTATTTTAAATCTATTTTAAAAAGATTTTTACACAAAACTAAATGTAAATTAAATCTTTAAAACAACATGATAATTATTTATAATTATTTTAATTATAAATTATAAACATGATAATTATGATAATTATATTATATTTAAATTATTATTATAATTAAATAAATAAATTTTTTGAATTGTAAGTTTTGTGCCAAATAAATTTTTATTATCTACATGTGCTTTTTAATTTTTTTGCATAGACGGAAATCAAAGAAATCAAACATAGAATACAATAATAATAATAATAATTATAATAACAACATTTATTAAATATGCCAGTGTATTCTACAAAAAGAGTGCTCTATTTTCTTAAAGAAAAGAGCTGTATAAAATTATTAAAAAAGCACATCTAGCTCTACCGAGCTTCTATTGTCAGTTTCTCCTTTAGAACTTCATGATGATCCTATCTTTAATCTATTCTAAGAAACATTTAGTGTAACCATATACTACACCTAAATTATTTCCTGTTTTAATATTTTTAACAAATACTAAAGTTTTAATGCTGAAATAGAATCTAACTCTTTAATCTTTTTTAAATACATATTAGCTCTTTGAAAATGTTTTTTTTTAAAGAATAATTATTAACTTTTCATATTTTTTTGAATCATTAAAACATATAGTATATATATTAGGAGCTCATAGATAGAAGAAAAAAAAAAGTTTTGCTTTTTTCTTTGGGGTGTTTCAGTTAAATGTTAAAGTTTGATCTCTCTTTGATACTTTAATTAATAGCTTTTAGAATTTCTTCTCACATTTTTATTTGACTGGATGCACAGTGGATGCTAGTGAATGGTTATGTTGGTCATCTTTATTCTTCCATAGTATTGTAAAGCATAAATTTAATGTTCATCTCTATGCTTCCATAGTATTGTAAAGTATAAATGTAATGAAGAGGTTGTGACTGGTAAGCCACAACCTCTTCCAATATACACAATTATACCCTATTTGGCATTAGGGTATCCCACTGGATATGGTGACAGCTTGTAACCTAACGACACTCATAAACTTTTGGCTAAAGATTTATGACCAACGATGACTAATGTATTCAATTAATTGAAATTCTGATGGTCTTATATCTAGCTCCAATATGCTAACCCATAAGTACAAAAAGTGAGCATGTTTATTTTGCATCTGCCACTACTTATTTCTTTAAAGTTACTTGAAACTTTACACAAAAACTATTATCTATTTGTTGACCAATTTTACTAAAAAAAAAAAATTAGCCATTTCATTTTGTAATGAGTTTAAAAAATTCTAAAAATCCATTTTATTTGGTAATTTTAGAATTATTATTCATTTTAGAGTTTTGGAAATAAATGAAAAATCTTTAATTTTATTTTTAACTCTCTCTCAATCCTAAACATTAAACTTTGTTTTCTGAGTAGAGAAACAAATCAAGCATAGTGTTTTATAAGCTATAGAGTGGATTTAAACTTCTTTATAAGCCATAGAGTGGAATTGAACCTCTTTATAAGCCATAGAGAGGAATCTCAAACCATTGTGTTCTATCACTAGTTTACTACTAAAAGCGATTAAAATAGAAAATAATAAATAAATTAGACAGGGATATTTATTCAAAAAAAAAGAGATATTTATAATGAAATCTCAGCTTTGCCAAATGTCAAAAAATTTATAAAGTTTTCTAAAATTTATAAAAAATTAAACCTACCTTTCTCTCCATGATACATCATTGCAGCCCATGTAGTAGCAATAATACTACCAGGACGACTACCTGGCATAGAGGCAGAAGCATAAACACCACCAGTCCAATTTGGCTGTGTAAAGTACTAAAAATAAAATATGTAAATTTGGTTTAAAAACTATCAGAAATAAATGATTTTAAATAGAGTTCAACTGTCCACCATTTACTTATGTATTTGTAAACATTTGTGTCATAGAGTTAAGTGAGGATTGTACAAAATAAAAAAGTAGTGACTTGCTTCATAAATGTATGTCTTAAAAAAAAATCATACCTGATGACTTCTAATTTCTTTGTTTCTATACAAAATAACGGAGGAGCCTTTAGGTGAATAGCCATACTAAAATTAATACACAATAAACAAATTACAACTTAAGCATATCAAAAATTTTCTCATAATGTGTAAAAAAATCTTTAAAAAAATATTAATACCTTGTGAGTGTCAATAGATATGCTTGTTATACCTGCAACTGAAAAATCAAAAGCTGGGACCTGAAATCTTTAATACAAAAATTTATTAGTAAACAAAACATCTTATTTATCATTGGCAACTATTATTATTTATTATTGTCATTAATCTTGTATTATTTATTATAACCAAAATCATCAACATTAAAGTAATATAATGCATTATAATCCAATACTTAATTCTAATTGGATATAATGGCACTAACATTTTTACCATTTACACCCATGAATTTTAGCGCTTTGTGAGTATTATATTGTATATTTGTAACATTAACAATATTAATATATCTTGCTGTGACACAGGCAGTTATCAGTTTTTAATTTATTATTGTCTAGTGTTTAGATCACGAATAGTACCACATTTATAAGCCCCATCTTTTATTTTTATTTTTATGTTATCCAAACTATCATATATTATCATTTTTCTTACAATATTATAATTTTATCTAATTATTTTTTTTATTGTTTTATATTGTATGATATTTTTAGTCATGGGAGCCATTATTACACCAGTAGATTTATATAGATTTATAACTCATAGGGTATTGTTTTATCATTTACTAAGAATGACTAGAGCATGAGTTATGTTTTCCCCTCTCTCTGAGTCGTGAAACTTTATTCCTCCTACTAAATAGTCTTTACAATCATTTTTGAACCTTACCTAATGACATTAGCTACAATCTAAACTATTATCACATCTCCCAGGTCTACGCAACTGGACAGTTTTTGCAATCATTTTTTGCAATCATTGCGAGGCTTAATTATAAAAATATTCTTTGTGGCTGGTGAGCCCTGACGTTTTCCAATGGACACCACAACGAATATTAGGCTATCCCAATGGATGTGGTCGCAACATTAAATAACTTAATGACTACGCTGACACTCATACACACATTCATTTTGATCCACAATGCAAATCAGCGCTGACTATATGCTCAGATCTAATCTCAAACATCTTAGCACATCATTCCACACTAGTACAGGGCTGTATCTCTTTTGGCTAAGAGTGATGGCTTGTGACCTACAGTGACTAATGTGTGTATTTGATAAAATGAAATCCATTCTGTAGGTCTTAAATCTGGCTCTGCTGTACTTGTACAAAAGCGTAAGAAGTGAGTGTTTTTAGCTTTCTTTTTGCCCGATTTGAAAGTGGATGAAAACATAACAAGACCATACCGAACGGCTAAACGGAATATACTAATGCATTACACCATCCCACCTGTAGACTGTTTGTTCTTTGTTGCATATGATATCTACACACAGATTGACTAGAGCATTAATTTAAATTCTACTTTACAAAAGTCTTACCACTTACTACCTTACAAAAGTTTTACCACTTACTTTATAGTTTCTTAAGATTTTTTTTCATTATTCATCGACACTATCTATAATCTATTTTTACTGGACAACTCTGTTGGTCACCAATATGCGATCATTGTGTTGCATAAACAATTATAACCAAAATCATCATTAAAGTCATCATAATGCATTATAAAAGCATTACTATAGAAGAGATCAATGGAACAGTTTTTATTGGAATAATCTATCAAAACAGTTAAAGAATTTCAACTTATTTTTAAAAATTAGAAACTTCAAAAGCATTTAAAAACAGTTTAATATCTTCAAAACATTTAAGCTATTTAAAAACAGTTGATATATTCAAAAGCATTGTTTAAAAAGAAAAAATTAATTATAGAACAAAAAAACACTAAAAAAGTGACTATAGTAGGGTTTCAAAAGTTATTGTACTTGAGTTAAAACAGCAAAAAATTTACCCAGCCTTCTTCATAAAAGGAACCAAAAAACCTCCTAAACAACAGTCTGCATGCATATAGATTTTATATTTTTGTGCCAACTAAAATAAAATATAAAAATTCATTTAAAAAATTTATAACTAACTTTATACTTCCAACAAACTGAAATAAACATAATTTTAAAGTAATTTTACTGTAGCAAGCTCTTCAATAGGATCTATACATCCATGAGGATAACTTGGTACTGAACCTACAAGCTGGAGTTCAAATTATAAAAAAGCATATAGACTAATAATAATAAAAAAATATAAAGAAATTATTTTAAAATTGAAAGCAATTTTATTCAAAATATAACTTATGATTAATAAAGAAAATAATAGAGGAAATAAAATACTTAAAACTTTTGATAAATAAAATGTTTAAAAATAATAAAAGCCAATAGAGAATAAAACAACAAAAAAAGTAAGTAAAGAAAAAAAAACAAAAACTTATACCAATATAGTTCTTCTTCCAATTGCTTTTTTTGTCAACTAAAATAATAAACAATTTTTTTAAACTTTAAAAATTTATTTATTATTGGGATATTTAATAAATTTGTTTAAAGGTTTAAAAACATAATATATTTATAAAATTTGCTATTTAAGCAATTATATAATTTTTTTCTAAAAATTTTTTTTGACAAAAATGTAAATAAAAGTAGTAATAAAAAAAAAAAAAGATTCATAAATAAAGTTAAAAAAATTTTTTTAGTAATAATTTTTTTAAGATTTACTTTTTTAGTATTATTATTTTTATTTGCCAAAAATTATAATGCATAAAAAGCAGCTTCATTTTTTTAGTGATATGAATTCTAAATTGTAATTAACAAAGCTTAAAAAAAGCTTAAAAAAATTTAAAAGATTATTGGGAATATTTATTTTTGTTATAGTCTATTTTGTTATATATTTTGTTGATTACATATTTTTCTTTTACTACAGTCTATCCTATTTTCATTTTTATTGATTATATATATATATATATATATATATATATATATATATATATATATATATATATATATATATATATATATATATATATATATATATATATATATATATATATAAATATATATATATTTTTTTTCAGTACAGTCTATTTTAGTTTGATTTTTATTGACTATATATTTTTATTATTTATTTTTTACTATAGTCTATTTTATTATTATTATTTTTTAATTATATATGTTCAATTTATTAACCTCTGGTATTTCACTTTTTATCTAAAAAGAATACAAATACTGCAACAACAAAAAAGATCAAAAAACATGTCATTGTGACATATACAAGTCAAAGTCAAGATAAACCAAGTTGGACTTTAAAATGAGATTGTTTTGTTATAATCTAATACATCTATTTTATGATTATATTTATTTATTTATTACATGATTTTAATGTTTAATTAAAAATAAATTAAAAATAGCAAATTTAAAATAGCAAAGAATAAATTAAGCATAAAATTTTATGACCTTAAATTTTACTTAAGTACAATAACTATTTAATAATTACAATAACTAAAATTGTAAATATTTTGCACTCCAAAAACCTTTATACTTATGTGAAAGAGGATTTTATAATCTATTTAAATTTAATTCAATTAAATTAAAAATATTGTTTAAATATTGAAAATAAAATGGTCTAAGTAAAGGACCTCGAAACAATGGTGGAAATTTTTTCCAAAAAAAACGAGAAAAAGGTAAAGCGTTTGTTGCTAAGCAGTTTATGGAATGGGGTTTATCCAGATCAACTGCTTACAATAAAATCGTAAAATTGGAGAATGGATCTCTAAAAAGAAAAGTTAAAGTGGTCGAATCACTAAGGTAGCTACTAAAAAAAATATTCCAAAGTTTGCTACATTTTTTGAAAATAGGTCAGGGTGCTCCCAAAACAAAGTAGCTCAAGTTTTTAACTGTAGTCAAACTCAAATTTCCCAACTATTAAAAACAATGAGTAACATTCGAACTTTCAAAAAAACAAATCGTCCAGATCATAGCCATTGGCAGAAGAAAGTTTCAAAAAAAAAAAAAATGCGTCCTAAATGTCGTAAATTGTAAGAAAATTATAAAAAATTGGATTTTGTTATGGATGATGAAAGCTATTTTACCTTAAACAATAGCACATAGCTGGTAATGATAGGTTTTATGCCGCTGATCCTTCTCAATGTTCTGAGAAAGTAAGAAACAATTTGCGTAAAAAGTACAAGGACAAGCTCTTAGTTTCTTGTTGCATCAGCCCCTGTGGAATAAACCCTCTTTATATTCGTCACAGTAAGCAGGCAATCAAACAGTACAATTATAAAGAGATACTAGAAAAAACTTTACTGAGAATTTGGAAGAGCTTGAAGCAAGAATTAGATATTGCTATTCAAAGATCAATAAAGAAATTTTGCTTACTCAAATAATACATCTTTCAAAAAGACTTTATAATATTACTAAACATGGTATTTAAAATAATTATTTTAATATATTTATAAACTACATATAATAACATATTAACAGTTGAAATATTAAATAATAAAACTTATTAGTTCTTAAAATATTATTTTTTAAATTTTGTCTATGAGGTGTTATAATCATGTTGTGTTATTATTAAAATAGAGCTGAGATTGTAAAAAGGTTGTGAAAAAAAGATTTTAACTCAATTATGTGACTTCAGTAGCACAGCTCTACCCACACACCATACATTATTATTATTTCACATGCATTATTCTTAAAATAGAAAGTTTGAAATTATTCTTAAATTAAAAAGAATTTCACTTTAAATTCTACTATTTGATGTTACTTAATATTCATGTTTTTAAAGGTAGTAAGAATGAACATGCATTATTGTCAATATTTATAAACATTTATGGGTAGTAAAAATAAACAGTTTTGAAGTTGTATGATATACTTTAACATTTGCTTTTCCCGTTGTCTTGTCCACTGGAATATGAGTTAATTTGATTCCAAAGTATTGGCATGCCTAAAAATAATAATTACAAAACTATAATAATAACACAACTAGCTGTAAAACAACAAATAATAAACAACAGTTTAATAACAATTATATATGCCACCAATGATGTCATACTGAAATGCCATGTTTTCACTGAAGCCACCTTTGAAGACTTCAGTAAAAATAATAACTGAGGGCTTGGGTTTGGGCAGGTACAATTTAGATATGAAAATGTTTATAGCAAAAATGTTTTTTTGATTACACTATGTAACACAATTTTTTTCATAAGTATGACTTCATTAGTTTGTTTCGATTGTTTTTTTTTGTTATTCATTTGATTGTTATATTTCAATTGGTTATATCTAAAGTATATGAAAAAATGACTTCATTAGGCACAAACTTTGCTTACACAACAAAAACAAGAAGAAAACTCATTATTTTATGAAAATAAAACAATTTTTTTTTATGTTTGTCATTATGATCAAGTAAAAATGAAAATTGCACAAGGAATAGGAAAACACAGTTGAAAACTACTTAACAAGGTTCAGAAATATTTAGATTTTCGAGATGTACTGTAAATCTCTCTCTCCAAGTAGTCCCCAAGTGTAGTCCCCCATCATGTTTTTGCTATACTGTCCTTGGTAATGATGTTTAAAGTTTAATATATCTGATGAAAGTGCTCACCTTGGTCCTCAGAGTAAGCACCTATGATCTCCTTGGATTTGCTGAGATGCGAATCAAGGATATGGACTATCAAAGACATTCTGCTTCCCATTTTGGCGTAATCAATGTCACATAATTTTTAGCTTTGTGATTACTAAGAAACCCCTGAACAATGAAACATAGCCGCCCTCTTTGTCTTGTTCAACAGCTTTTCAAAATCCTCACATTCTATGATCTTCTTGATCGGTGGTCTGCCTAATATACCAGCCCTAACCTTAACCTTGGACAGCTTTAGAAAAAGATCTTGGAGGTATTGAAACACTGCTGACTCCTTGTCAAGAGCAGTGACAAATTGCTTAATGAGACCTAACTTGATGTGCACCAGTGGCATATGTACTTTATGAGGTTCTATCAGCAGTTCCCACTTCAGATTGCTCCTCCCAACAAAAAAACTTGGTCTGTTGTGGCCAGTTCTTTGTGGGATAATGCGCCTTAGTGTCAAGCCTGTCCTAGAGAAAACAAGCTGAGACAGAGAAAACAAGGAATTTTTGTGAAACCTCCTTGAAGACACACAAGAAATGATACCATTTTAAAATCACTGATGACCTCCCATTCAAAGTTGTTATACTTTAATGCACTCAGCAACAGTGTCAATATGACACTGGTGTAGTCCTCTTTGAGATGCACAGAGTAGGTAATCAAGAGAAATGGGTAGTTATTTTTGTTGTGAGGCTCCGGGATGAACTGTCTATGAATAGGTGCCATTCAATAGGATTACATGCAAAACCTATAGCCTAGAATAGACCGGCAATATTGTTGCAGAAGCACAGCCCATCATGCTGACTGAAGAAGTTGGAGAATCTTTAATGATACTTCTCTTATCTGTGACTTGCAAGCTATCATCATCAAGTTCCATTATTTGTCTGGATATCAGAAGCAAATTTTGTAAATCCGAGGTCCCTAATTTAATCGTTCACGCCTTTCTGGTTTCAAAAAAAGAAACGATTTCAAGATGGTACCTATTTGTCTACAGACTTATGACAAAAGTTTGAAAATTACAATTCCTTGAAATGTGTTAGATTTAAAGCATTGAAACTTTATGAAAATAAACTAAAACACATCTAAGTGAGAAGCAACTGTTCAGTTTACTTTTAAAGTATGTCTTGCAGGCCTCGCACAGTATACAACTTGCTTCTAAGGAATACTTTTTCACTCTTAACTTTATGAATTGTCTACACACATAGCAAAATGAATCTGCTGAATGCAAACAACCACTTGATTCCATATCAAATACATATCTTCTCTTTAACTACGAGTCGTTATCCTTTCAGTCTGCAATAACACAAATTGGAATCTTTGTTCGATACATTTGTGCTTTTTTTATTATTATACTTGTACAACTATTTTCAGAAGGTTCAAGAATGTTCTTGAAAGTTTTGAGTGTTTATGAGAATTGTAGAAACATCTGGACAACTCTAGCAGTTCAAGAATATTATAGGAGGAAGCTCAACAAATCAATTTAAAAGCAAGATTTTTCTTGAAAACATGCAATACTTCAAATTTTATTGTCCCGGTCACAATAGCAAAGTTTTACTGGAACAGCTTTTTCATTTCTGTTCTAGATCTAATGGGTTACGAAAACACACTTTCAACCCAGGAACAGAACAAAAATGAAAATTTGTTACATTTTTTTAAATTGTCTATATGTAGGTATATTTTTTAATTGCTTTTTGTTTGTCTGGTAAATTGCTGGGATTAATATATTTAGGTTTTTATAATATATTTATGTGTATAGATAAAAACAAAGTTATGTGTTTGTATGTATATATATATATATATATATATATATATATATATATATATATATATATATATATATATATATATATATATATATATACACACACATAAAAGTAAAACTAATTAAAAATAAATTTTAAAATAAACTATTGGAAGTTACTGGGTGTTAAATAACGAAAAATAACCTTGTCAAAAGCAGGGTGAGCACTAACAGGAGCAATACTAAAGTAAAAAATTGCAAGAAAATACTTATTTTATTAATATTTTGCAAGAAAGCAATTTAAGATTAAAAATTTACAGAAACATGATCACAACCATTGAAACAATAAAAAAATTGAGTTTACCATTTTGAAAATAAATTAATGACTAGAGTTTGTAAATTAAAAATTAACAATTAATGAATTGATAACAATTACTGAATTAACAGAATATTTATCTATTACATTTCAGGATATCGAATTCCTCTCTCTCGTGCAATCTCCCTATAACATTTTACTGCCATTAAAATACTTTCAGTTCCTCCAGATGTCATCTATTATACAAAAAAACGATATATATATATATACATATATATATATATATATTATATATATATATATATATATATATATGTATATATATATATATACATATATATATATATATATATATATATATATATATATATATATATATATATATATATATATATGTATATATATATATATATATATATATATATATATGTATATATATATATATATATATATATATATATATATATATATATATATATATATATATATATATATATATATATATATATATTTATGTCACCACATATTGTTGCCACTAAAATCAATTGAGTTAATTATTAGTTTTAAACATTGTATTTTTAACAATTTTTTAGAAAGATATTATTTCTAAAACCTCTGATATAAAACTTTTGATTTGTTGTTATTATTACTACTCTTTTATTATACTTTTATTATAATTTACAACTTATAAAAGTTCATGAAAACTTATTTCAGAATCTCAGAACATATTCAGATATATAAAAAATTTTCAAAACTGTTATTACTATTTTTAGAAATCAATAATTATTACATTGATAATTAAGTAGGTATAAAATATGTATGTATGTTCCTGTATAAAAAATTGAGATCAAAAAAGAAAAGTGATTATGATTGTTACTGAAGTTTTTATTAGTTTAAAGTGGAAAGTGAAAGTGGAAAGACTCTTTTCTTGACTTTTTTTCAGATTCTCTTTTTGAATCTGAAGGAGATGATTAAGAGATTCTGAATAATTTTTTAAAATTCCCAGAAACTAAATTTGTTGATTATCTCAAATCATTTCTTGCAGTTAAGAACGACAGTTCAGAAGATATCCACAATTTTTTAATTATAGAAAAATTTTAGTCTGCCTTAAAACAATAAGCAACCCAAAAATTTGAACTTAAGAAAAACAAGGATCAAGAGTAGCAAAATTTATATATATATTTTATATATACCAACACTCGATAACAAGTTGTGCTATATCTCCTTTTTTGTACAGAGAATGCATGTGAGGAGTACTCCTACCAGATAAAGTTAATTAAGTCATCATACCTAGCACGACTTGTTGAAGTTACACTTAAAAGAAACAGAAAAGCTGGGAATAACTTGATCGCTTTATGGGAATTTCTTTAGTTGACTCAGCAAAATTACCAATTAAACTTATGAAGTTATAAACTAATTGGTATTTATCTAGATAGGAATAAGACACTTTGATCTCTAAAATCTTTAAAATACATTTTATTATGTCTTAAATAAATTACGCGACGTGTAAAAAATAAATGTGCTCTGGTTTTTCTATTATAAAAAAATGTTTATAAAGTAGTTCAATTCTTCTCTTAAGAGCTTTAATATTACAAATATATTTACCAAAAATTAGCATAATCAGCAAATTTATTTTTATGTTATTTATTTTAAGCACTAGTTGGTAAATTCATGATTATTTTGGCTTCTCATTCAAAATTGATTACAAGATATTTACATGATTACAAGATATTTACACGATTAAAAGATATTTACATGATTACAAGATATTTACATGATTACAAGATATTTACATGATTACAAGATATTTACATGATTACAAGATATTTACATGATTACAAGATATTTACATGATTACAAGATATTTACATGATTACAAAATATTTACATGATTACAAGATATTTACAAGATTACAAGATATTTACAAGATTACAAGATATTTACATGATTACAAGATATTTACATGATTACAAGATATTTACATGATTACAAGATATTTACATGATTACAAGATATTTACATGATTACAAGATATTTACATGATTACATGATTACAAGATATTAAATTATCATTCAAAGTTTGATTGAAAGTTTGAAAACAATTTTTTTTTCTCTCTTTGATTTGACTGTTTCCATTTTTTTCCGCAACAAGCAAAAAACAGAGGAAGAATAAATACAAAGATGCAATAAACACAACCTTTTGAAGCAACTATAGTTCTTGTCTTATAAATACAACTTTTTAAAGCAACTATATTTCTTTTGTAATAAACACAACCTTTTAAAGAAATTATAGTTCTTTTATAATAAATATGACCTTTAGAAGCAACTATATTATGTATATTATTAAATCATTATGACATGACCATAATGATAAGATCCTCGTAATATGTTTTAACAATTTTTATCTTATCATAATATTAGAAAATAAATTAAAATAAATTAAACAAATTAAATAAAATTTTACCATTCCACAGCATTCAGGAGTACCATTATACATGTTAATACACATGCTAACTATCTCAGCTTCCATTTTACGCACTAGAATATATGGGGTTTATACTTATAGCTAACAAATAAATGTATGAATATATATATCTATACATATATAAATAAGTATATATATATATATATATATATATATATATATATATATATATATATATATATATATATATATATATATATATATATATATACATATACATATACATATACATATACATATATATATATATATATATATATATATATATATATATATATATATATATATATATATATATATATATATATATATATGTATACTTATTTATATATGTATAGATATGTATATTCATACATTTATTTATTAGTTATTAGTGTGTGTGTATATATATATATATATATATATATATATATATATATATATATATATATATACAGTAGCGTCCAAAAGTTTGCGGACAGGCAAAAAAATAAAGAATTTTAATTATATTTCACCACATACTTTACTAAAGCCAACATATTATATACCAATTAAAAGGTTTTCAAATTTACAATTGGGTTTTAAACAAATAATTATTATCTAAATAATATTTTTAAATTGGTATACAAATCAACGATCTTTGATAAGTTCAAAAATTTGCGGACAAAGCATTATTTTTTAAAATAGTTAAAATATTTCAATAATATTTGATCAAAATTTTTGCAAAAGCAAAATCACATTAGTATTTTGTAGGATATCCTTTACAATCAAGAATAGCTTGGCATCTATGAGGCATAGAGTCAACTAAATTAATGCAAACGTCAATGGGAATTAAGTCCCATAATTCTTTGATTTTATTAAATAAATCAGCATAATTTGTAGGCTTAATTCCTTTCATTTGACGGTCAACATGTTCCCATAGATGTTCAATGGGATTTAAGTCAGGTGATTGGGATGGCCACTTCAAAACATTAACTTTACTCTCTTTAAAAAACCGATTTAGCTGTATGTTTGGGATATTGTCTGTATTATTTGTTATCCTGTTGGTAAATCCATCCTGGAGGCATTTTATCCTTTGCATATGGTAACATAATAGTCTTATATGTATCTTTGTACTTTTCTCAATTCATATTCTCGGTAATTCTATGGAGAGGACCAACTCCATTTCAGCTAAAACATCCTCAAACCATTACATTACCTCCTCCATGTTTTACGGTAGGCAGTTGGTATTTAGGATTGTACCTAGTACCTACTGGACGTCGAACATACCTGATTCCATCAGATCCAAACAGCATAAATTTGCTTTCGTCACTTTTCGTCACAAAATAGTCAAAAAAAATTTTTGACCATTTTTGACTACTCCACTTTAGATGTTTTGATGCAAATTCCATTCGGGCATTACGGTTTTTCAAGAAAACTAATGGTTTTTTAGCTGGGCGTCTTCCAAACAAATTAGCGTGACGTAAATGACGTTTTATAGTAGAAATACTACAATTCATTCCATAGAAATGTCTCATTTGTACATTTAAATCGACAGCTGTCAAACGGGGATTTTCTTTGCTTAGTATTACAAGCTTTTTATCCTGATAACGCATTGTTTTGCGTGGACTTCCTGATTGATTTTTATTCTTTGTAGATCTAGTAAGCTCAAATCTCTTCATAATTTGTCCAACAGCAGACTTACCCACTCCATAAAGGACGCTTTTGGACGCTACTGTATATATATATATATATATATATATATATATATATATATATATATATATATATATATATATATATATATATATATATATATATATATATATATATCAGGGTTGGCAAAAAAACCCAACCCAAAAAAACCCACCTTAAAAAAACCTAATAAAACCCAAAAAAACCCAAAATATATTTGGGTTTTTTAAAAAATGACCTATTTTACAACTGATAACTCTGATTTTAACACTTATAAATGCTTTATTATCAGCAACTGCAACCTTTATACTGTAATTACTCTTGTAAACACTGTATTTATATACATAATGGTCTTTAGAATATACCCAAAATGGATCAATCTATTTTTGTAGCAAGTTGGTTATTTATTATTTTTTTAAAACATTTAGCAAGTTATTATAAATGTTATTGAAATATGTATTAAAACATTAAATTAGTTAAATACTTATAAAGGAAATAAAAATCATTCTATTAACTAAATTTCAAGACATTACTAGTTATTTAGTATATTTATTCTCCTCTCGAATGTCTATATTCCTTTATATTGGTATTTGATCTTTTATTTTTTAAAGCTTATGTTGTAAACTGCAAAAAAAAAATATACAAAGCAACAAGCAAAATACTATATATAAAAATTATTAAACTTTATTTACAATTTAGAAATGGAAAGTTGTCAGGCAAAAAAAAATGCTACAGTTTACTAGATTTGTCCTTAAGTGCATACAACTTTAAAACTTAAAAAAAAGTTAAGTTATGTGCAAACAAGCTTGCAACATGTTTGCTCATTCAATGAGAGAACATGTTGAAAACTTGTATGCATTTCACAAGGACAAGATTTGTTGGTAAAAATGACACTCATGCTCATCTGTCTTTTGATAGGTTTTGAATATTTTTTATCAGCTACAAGTTTACAACATGTACCACCAACAGGGGTGACTATGAACAGCGGGTTGAAAATTAACATCAGTATCAAGTTGCTAAAAGGTGAAGAAACACACACACACAATAGAGCTACATAATGTGTTACTTTGATTCAGTTTGCAATTTGCATTGCAAAACTGAGCCGGTAAAACATCTTCAAGGAAAAAAAAAAACTTGGTGGCGAAAACACTGTAATGGTTCTTAACAAATTTATTTTAGATATTTTAAGAAACAAAGTTTAGGCAAAAATCCATTTTTTGCCAGTCCAGTTGATCAGGCCGATAACTTTTCCAGGAAGCTGGACAGTATAATGTTCTGATAAAAAAAAATGTAGTGATTAGGCTAGCAGTTTTCTTCTATGATACAAAAATGTTTAAAAAGTGTTCATAGTCATCCTGATTGATAATAACTTATAAGGTTGCAACATCATGTTGCAAACTTGTTGATTACATGTTGTAAACTTGTGCAAAGTAGTTTTTGAAATGATATGTTGAACATGTTAGTAAAAAAAACTAGTTTGCAACATTTATATTGTCTTACCAACTTTGAATAACTCAATTGTCATAATTTTTACACTGATTTTTTTTTAGTCAAAAATATTCTGAACATGTTTTTAAATTAGAGCAATTAATTAACATCATTTATAGTTGATGGAGTCCCTTTTTGCACTATAGGTAAAATGTGCTAGTAGACTAGTAGTAAAACATTTGGCTTGCAACCAGAAGGTTGGGGTTCAAATTACCTCTGCTGAAATTACTGTCTTAATCTATTTCTCCACACAGCCCCTTTGTTTAAAAATTTTAGTTTTTAATGTTGTTTGTTAGTAAAAATGGTAATGTTAAGGATTGAGACAAAATATTTTTAAAAAATGAGTTGCTCCCTTGAGTGAAATGGTCATTGGAGCAATAGGGAGGTGAATTTATGAAATTAAAAAAAAAAACTATTGTACTCATACAATTATAAAAATTTGGTATTTTGATCGATTTTTAAAAAAACCCAAAAAACCCATAAAACTCAAAAAAACCATATAAAACCCAAAAAAAACCATTTAGGTTGGGTTTTTTTAAAAAACCCTGGGTTTTTTCCAACCCTGATATATATATATATATATATATGTATATATGTATATGTTTATGTATATATATATATATATATATATATATATATATATATATATATATATATATATATATATATATATATATATATTAGGTATGTCCAAAAAAAAAAATTTTTGAATTCAACCTAGCACAGTATCTCATTTTGTTCCTTTGATGGAAACTAACTTTTATGCAAATTTTGGCATTTATATTTTGATATTTACAAGTTGCTCAATGGAGGTGAAGTTTAACAGTACAGATAAACTTGCCGCGGCTGCACTTTTTTGACTGAAATCTTCAAACTAGAATCACAAGATGATAAAATGTGATAGATACATTACTATTCATTTCAAAAAGACATACTGGTTATGACACAGACAGTGCAGACACAATCAGTCACACATTAACAATTTTTAATTTATCAAAATTAATATCAAAGAAATTAACAGCAATTTTTAAACATGTTCGTTCAGATTTTTATTGCATGCTCATTTATTGTTCACGTGTTCAAAGTTCAACTTATTTCAGTTTTCAAGCTTGCGACGTCTACCGAGGGGCATATGCCATCAGGGTGCTTTTCCGGTAATCTGGAATGCGCTTCCTGTTGTCCTCAACAACTTGGAGGAGTTTCTGCATTTCAGACTCTGTCTTTGTTATTGACTGGTTTAAAGAACTCATCAGTGCAATAGAGCGCTCGGCAGTATCATTGATAACCTTGAGAGAAGCAACAACAGCTTTGGTTTTTCGAAATGAAGCACTTTCTTCCCAACTCGGGGGCTCAAGTCCTGACAAGGTAGTTATGTCAAGTCCAAGTGACTGCAATGCAGCTGTTGATGATGATGTTACCAGTTCATGTAGTTGCTTTTTCTCCAACTCATTACATTTTGATACTGGAAACTTGTTTCCCCTGACACTCCAATCATCTCCACTGAGGATCATGGCTTCCGCAATCAACTTCTTTTCTTCATCAGATACTTTGCTGGAGAACAGTGAAAGAGGAACCATTTCTGTTCCAAGATACCACATGTGATTCTGCAATTTCTTCAAAGCTGCTTGTGAAACAATCTTGTGTACCTCAGCATATCTTTTTATTCTCTGAAACAGCATCAAATCATTCAATGGTGCATCACTTGCCACTGGACAAGCAATCCAAGCTGGTACATAAATGTGAGCTGCAAAAATGCAAAATTCAGACAGGTTTTTCACCTCAGTTGAAGTCAGTTTGAATTCATTCCTGAACAGGAAAATCTTCATGCAATATATGACCTTTGCCATCCATCTTGCCATATGGTAGGCACCCGGCTGTCTGAAATGATATGGCTTTCCACCAGCTGGATGGCTTGGTAGTGTGAAACCCAATATCAAGAGGCAAAGTTCAATCATTTCCTTGTAGTCCTCTCGTGGTAGATATGACGTTTGACCTGACAGAAAAGACAGCAAGAAAGGACCAAATTCTGCTCTGAGTTGTTGCAGCTGTGGAACTGTAAGTCGCGTATCATCAAGTGGAACAAAGTTCATTTGGTCAATAGTTGGCCAAGACTGCTGAAAACGTTCAAATAGAGCAATGTTTGGGGCCACGGCTTGGGCCAAGCAAAACTGTGAACACTTCACCAATAATCACTTCATGCACGTGGTGTCGACAAGCTAAGTATAGAAGGTTTCTCCCAATTAGTTGTTCCAGCAAGACACATGCACCATTTTTGGAGCCCGTATTCGAAGCTGTGGTGTCAAAGCACATGCCAACGATTTCACTATCAACATCCCATATTTTGGCCAACTGGAATGTTGCCTTGGCTTGTGCTACCCCAGTGCCCGCTGGAAGCTTGACAATTCCCAAGATTTTCTCCAAATCTACACCAGTCACACTAACACCAATTCTGTCAACATTGGACTTTGGATCCTCTAAGTTCGTGCTGTCTCGCATGATTTTACCGTCCCAGTGGACCACCAGAGGCGGTTTTTCACTGGAGAGAAACTCCTGCCGAATACAATTTTCTGTTGAAGATCGGTGTTCAATACGTTTGCGACGTACTGTTGATCTTGACAATGGCGTGCTTTGTAGGTCCTGTCCACTGGCTTTAGCAATTGCTGCTGCCAAAATTGTAAACTTCTGGTCAGATAAATTTATGCGATCAAGTGTTGATGAAACATCTGGTGACGACAGAATGTTCTCCAAAATGCGTGGTCTTTTGTTAACTGTAGTCCATTCATGTCCAGCATCCACTACCTCACATAGCTGCTTCTTGTGATATACTGGTATCTCTATTTCGTAATCATCATCTTCAATATCCTCCTCTTCTGCTCCGTCACTGTCGCTTTCAAGACCATGATTGTGATGGCTGCTTCTGGCACTTGCATCTCTCCTTTCTTCCTCACGCTGTTTCCTTTCAGCTTCAGCCTGTCGACGCTGTGCTGCTCGCTCTTCTTGTTGTGATAATCTTACATCTTCTCCACTCATCTTCATCATGCGAGCATTCCGCTGATCCTCCAAAAACAGCTTGTCTTCATCGATTTTGATTAATGTACCTGTATCTTTGTGAGCAATATCAAAGAGTAGATTCAGTTTGTCTTTAAATGCTTTTTCTCTAGCTAGCTGTGATTCACTTTCTCTTCCTTTATTCTTCTTGATCAAACTGTATTCATCAAAGCATACCTTCACCTTTGACACGATATGTGGTTGATAGGTCATTGGTATCCGTGCCTTGCTCCAAATTTTTACCAAATCAGATGAGGTTGACTTTGCACTGGCAGATACTGTCTGTTTTATTGTTTTGTGGTAATGGAAAAATGTACGAAGAACATCGCCCGTTGTCGGAAGGACATTACTCGGTAGGTCCTTTTCAGGTTGACCAATCAGCCAAACAGCAGTTCGAGTGCGTGTCAGTGGTACAGCGTTTGACTTTGCAGCCATTTTCAGCAACAGTCTAAAATTAAGATAGAAGCATTTTAGAATTAATAACAAGATAGGCCTATTAATTCAATGAATTCATATAAAAATGATTTATTAGAATATATTTTATTATTTTTATAATGGATTCGGATTGTCACAAATAAAGTTTGAAACCCTACTAATGGTTCAACACAGCATTAAGCAGGTTGTCTATAGTTCCTACAACTGTTTAATAGAATGATCAAATAAATATGAAATCAGCACAAAGTAAGAAACTAATTGAAACTATTATAATTACCTTTATTGAGAGTTTACATCAATGTATTAAATAAATTCTGTATAAATTCACAAGTTTGCTGAAATAATTCTCATTTGCTACATTGACAATGACATCATCATAGAATATCTAAATTCTAAAAACACTAAATAAATAAGTAATGCAAATGCAATGGTGCTTTACAGTCAGTAACCTTATCATAAAGATTGGTCAAATGGACAGATTATTTTCTGTTGTTACAATTTTATCGCGGACTCGCGGGTAACCCAATGCTGATGCATATTGAAAAACCTTTGGGGCCATTGAGCAACCCCTAAATATTAATTGATTAGGGATCTTTTTGGAAACATGACTAAATATTGAAAAACGAACAAAATGAGCCTATGTGCACTAAAATCGGAAGAAATTTTTTTTCCTCCATGTATATGTGGACATCCCTAATATATATGTATATATGTATATATGCATATGTTTATGCATATATATATATATATATATATATATATATATAATATATATATATATATATATATATATATATATATATATATATATGTATATATGTATATATGTATATATGTATATATGTATATATGCATATATGTATATATGCATATGTTTATGTATATATATAAAAACCATTTAGGTTGGGTATTTTTAAAAAACCCTGGGTTTTTTCCAACCCTGATATATATATATATATATGTATATATGTATATGTTTATGTATATATATATATATATATATATATATATATATATATATATATATATATATATATATATATGTATATATGTATATATGCATATGTTTATGCATATATATATATATATATATATATATGTATATATGTATATATGTATATATGCATATATGTATATATGCATATGTTTATGTATATATATATATATATATATACATACATATATATATATATATATATATATATATATATATATATATATATATATATATATATATATATATATATATATATATATATATATATATATATATATATATATATATATATATATATATATATATATATATGTATGTATATATGCATATGTTTATGTATATATATATATATATATATATATATATATCTATATATCTATTAAAAATACTATCTTTAAGAGGAGATAGCTATCCAATCGGACATATCATGCCAACTTGTTAATGTGACATATCAATGCCAATCAGTAGGGCAAGACTGCAACAAGATGCAGACAAGCAACAATATAGAAACAACCAACAAGTTACAGTCAAAAACAAGTTACAGTCAAACAACAACTTACAAATAGGCAAAAAATTACAGACAAGCTAATATTATAAGCTAATAAAAAATTGCAAATAATAATAAATTTTTAATAAATAATAAATAAAAAATTTTTCAGATTGTTTTAGTTATTATCTTTTTAAAAAAAAAATTTATTTATTAAATTTATTTTCATCATTAAAAAGGAATATTAACACCATTAACATGTTAGTGAACAATTGTTGCTTGTTTTAATGGCGATGTTGTTGTTTTTGTTGTCTATGTTATTTTTCTTGTTTTTGATTTTGTTGTTACTGTTAAAAGTTGTAAAACTTTAAATAAATAAAAATGTAACTACCATCAGGAAACACATCAGAGTGAAGTGGGTTTGACCATGTATACTCAGCATAGACCTAAAACAATTTGGTAAATTTTTTAAATTCAAAACTAAATATAAAAACAAAACAATGCACAAATATGCTGCATCACAAATTAGGAAAAAAAATCCTGGGATTTCACTGACTTAATAATAAATAAAATAAATATAAAGTAATAACATTGGGTGGAAAAGAAAGTACATTTATATATTATACTTAAATATTAAGTGGAAGTGAGAGTGAAAGTATATTTAATGATAATATGTGAGTAGATAGTATTGTCATATGAGAAATAAGAAAAAAAAAAATCTGCTTATAATTTTCTTTTTCTTTTTCTGAAAATAATCTAAATCATAAGTTAGAAATATTTAAGTAAACTATTTATTTATCATAAATACTATAAATAATATTTTAATAAAATCTTCCTTAGAACTAATATGACTAGATGGATATATTTATATTTCTATACAGATGCATAAACATTACCTTGGTCATTAAATTTGACAGTACAGTATCAGATGAATATACAGTACCAGAAACATATCCATTCATCCAACAATCATCTCCATCTAAATGTGATTTGAGTGATTTAAATCATATTGATTTCAATTTTCATATTGATTGACATGAATATTGATTTTCAATATACTTTTAATTTAAATAAACAATAAAAACAAAACTTTTCTGTTTTAGAGATTATTTTATTTGTTTTAATACTTTTTTTTTTCGTACCTTTGTATCATTAGCTTTTTAAGATCTTTTTTTAACTTTTTTAACAAAGATTATTTAAGGTCAAGAGATACTGAGTTAGAGATACAAAAATTATCTCTTAAAAATTTAGCTGACCAATTAAAACTTTTTTATTTTTTAAAAAAGAAAATATCATTTAATAATCCTATTGTTTTAGCTGAAATAATTGTGAAGCATTTTCAAAACATTTAGTAGCGTGTGGCAAGGAGGATTTTAGAAAAAAAGAATATATAATATAAGAGTATAAAATAAAAAATAAGGATATATAGAATATCAGGGGTCAAAATAGGTGCAGGACATTGGACTATTCTCGAGACTAACTAGAGGCAATCAACCATTATTAATTTTTACTGACAAAATGAACAATAGTTGGTTACCCTTCCACACCCCCCCCCAACCCATGAAACTATTGAATAAAGGTTAAATAGAAAAGCCAAACAGAACATTAGAAAACAAAAAATATAAAATATAATATTAAAAGATTTTTTTATTTTTCATCATCATTATAAGAGTATTTTTGTTTTAGCGCCTAAAGAAAGTTTGAACCTTCAGTTTTTTTTTCCGGCTGTGTATTTTTTCCTGAATCCACTAAATTTAACTGACTACTAATATGCTGACATTCAATCATCTGCATCCTAATGACAAAATCTTTATGCAGACGATTTACGACCAGCACATAGAGAGTTAGCAGTTTCAGGAGTAAGGGGCCCTATTCTTCTTTTAGACCTAAATCTTTTTTAATGCACCCTACCTAATCTACTAATTAGTCCTAATCTGCATCTAAAATCATTGCTCATTTTTTCAAAAGATGAAAAACCAACACTGAACTTTTTAGGAAGCTTCTAAAACAATAACAAAAAAGCAAAGGACTGGGGCACTGAAACCACAATAACCTTAAAATTGTCACTTTTGCCATCTTTTATTTTTGATGATTATTTTGATAACCAGCTTGAAAACACAAACTTCATAACACAAACTTGATAACCAGCTTCAAATAACACAAATAAAACCCCAAAGCTGCACAAATAAGCCCACAACCATTTATATCTCAACATAGAATCAGTGTTTTATTTTTCTCAAATATTTTTTAAAACATTATGAAGAACAATGTAGAAATCTTCCATTTCTTCTCTTGTCTTCTTCTGCATAAACACTTGTCAATATATTCACTATTTCCTCACACAAAACCAACATCAAAGGGCCCAAATATTCAATATCACACTTTTCACTCTCATAAGCAACCTTAGAGGGGGCTAGGACCAGTTGATGTAATATACTTTTTAATGATCAGTGGTTTATCTTCTACCAGTCTGATCATACATTGTTGGCCTTTGACCAACAAGGTACTATCAAATGTGCCTCTTGTTAACCCATAATAGTTAATGCAGTAACTTTTTGAAACTTGAAAATAATGTGATTTCAAAGCAAACTTTTACTTACAAAAACCCTTCGAAAGGTTATCCTGCTTTGCAACTAAGAAAGTTTGGAATTTTTATCATGAAGCTATCACTAGTAAAATTACTATTTAAGATTAACATGATCTCATTATCAAACTAAAGTAGGATTCTGTCCTCATCATACTAAAGTAGGATTCTATCCTCATCAAACTAAAGTAGGATTCTATCCTCATCACACAAAAGTAAGATTCTATCCTCATCATACTAAAGTAGGATTCTATCCTCATCACACTAAAGTAGGATTTTACTTCAGTGTTTTATCTTTGAGTTGATTTGCATTTTGCTTACATTTTAACAGTTTTACATTAAAACTAAGACTTTTTTTGAATTTCAATTTTGTAAAAGAGAAAAGAATTAAATGCAAAATAATGATTATACTTATTTCTTTATATTTCTTTATTTCACTTTGAATATTTTCCTAAAATAAAAATAAAAAAAAATTTCAAATCTCATCTTTCACTATTTTTCTAAAAATTATTTTTAATAAAAGACAAAAATGGGAAAAAAAAAGTACAAAAAAATACCGGGGAAAGTCCATTTAATGGTAACTAAAAACAAAAAATTAAAACTAAAATTAGATTAATTTATAAAAAACAAAATTTGCAGTTTTTTTTAGAACAAACTATAATATAATGGTTACACAAAGTAAAAACGTTGTTAGTATAAACTACCTTTGTTACATAAGGAAGACCATTTGTTAAAAAAGAGGTTTCTTCAATTTCTTTGCAAGTTTTATCAATTTGGTGTTGAATCTTAAAATAAAATTACTTTAATTTTACATTAAGTTATCTTTTTTGTTATAGATGCACAGCTCTGTTATTTTTTTGAAAATAAACTATTTAATATAAACTTTTAAATGTTGAAAGGATCCTAAATATAAAGATTTTCAAATGTTTTTGGATTAACAAACAGTTTGTATTCAATTATAAAGATACATAAGTTTTAAAGAGTTTGCATAAGTGTATTAAATTTTTATTTTTTTCAAGTGAAATAATATGTAAACATATTCTTTTATTTGAAAAAAAGTAATATTGATCTAAACAATTCTTATTGTAATCAATTTATTTTATATATCTGCCATTTTCTCTAAAAGCACATTAAAAAACTTTTATGAAATACTTTTATGCAAAAGTTGCATAACTTTTTTATTAAAGGATTTTATGCAAAAAATTTTTTGATAGTGCAATAAAGCAACCCGAAACTTTTTTTTTTAACAATCATAAAATATAATCATATATAAAATATTAAATATAGAATATAATTATATATAAAAGCCTTATTACAATTTATAACTATGTAATTTACAATTTACAATTTGCAATTATGTTAGGAGTCGTTGCAAGTTTGATTCTTCCAGATATTATAACTCAATGAAAAAGAAAATTTTGATCTCTAATTGTATTTACAAAAACAAAGTTATTAAAAAAGAACTTTCTTAGTCATTGCTGCTCCATTAGCAACAGTGACAAAGAAAGTGAAAAGTCTTATTGGATCCTTTTTGATAATAAGTACTAAAAAGAGTTTAAAGCGCAAATTTTATTTCAATTTTTTTTTAATTCGAAAAAAAAAAAAAAAAAAATTTCAAATACTTTTCCTTCTTCTATATCACAATGCATTCAATGAGATATCAGTTAAAGTTATGTTTTTAAGCTTTATCAGTTATGTATGCAAAAAAAAAATTATGTTACTGACCATAAGGATAAACTCCTTATTTCAAACTTTAAAAAGGTTATATTTCATAAAACTGTTTTTATTTACGAACAAAATTTACGGAATAAAAACAAAAAACAAACAAAGAAATAACTAGCTAACAAACAAAGTTTCTAATCTTTACACAAAACAGTTTCTAAGATCAGTGAGGTAATTTCTGCTGCTCTAACAATATTATACAGTCTGATTTCATAATTAATTTCATAATTAATCTTAATTTAAATGAAAAATAAGTTTAATAATATATTCAAAAAAAAAAAAAAAAAAATTGGCACAATACATTTATTTACATTAAACATTGATAAACTATTAGGAAATGAAAGCATACCGGCAAATAAAAATCTTTAAGAAATATCAAATATTAAAAGAAAAAAAGATGAAGAGACTATAGTGGCATGCTGACCGCAGAAGTGATATGGGCCTTAAGCAAATTACCCTATAAAAACTTTTTAGAAAAAGAATTATTTTACTGTATTCTTTAAATGATCAATAAAAAACTTTTTATTCACTTTATTTATCACAAATTAATTTTTTTTAATTATCTGATTTACAGTGTTAAATTTTGAGCACTATATTATTATTTTGCATAATAAAATGCAAACATCTAACATTGGCCTCAAAAATATCACTAAATGTCAAGTCACTTTTGACAATTGTAATAAATTAAAGAAACTGTAACAAGGGTTCAATTAAGATCAGGACAATCAGATGGGAATTTGTGCTGATTTTTAAGTATTAAGATAAAATTGATTCTGAAATTGAAAAGTTTTTTTCAATTAAAACATTTTATTTTAAAACTTTTTAACTTTAAATTTAATTATTGTTTGTTTTGTTTATGTAACTATAGTATTGAAATGTTAGTTATTTGACCTTTTTGTGAGGTCAAAATATTCGCAAAATGATAAAAAACAATAGAAACATTTTTCTACTTAATATATCTTTAAACAAAACAATTTATCTATAATTAATTAATTACACCGATCTTTTCTATACTTTTTCCTTATATATATATGTATATCATAACTGTCCAGATCTCTTAAACATGGGTCTTCATCAAACCAACCATTTCTATACCTATCTATTCCACAACAATCATTTCTATACTTATTCCTTATTTTTTAGTCAATGGTAGAAAAACAATTCATTACAAAAAAATTGCTTTAAAAGCAAAAAAAAACTAAAATATGCACCTTTTCTTAACATAAGTATCTTTACCATGACATATATGTAACAAATTTCTCCGGGTGTTTTTATGTTTTTAGAAAATTTTAGCTTTTTAAAAAACTCTCTCCCTTTCGTTTGTTATACTATATATCTTGATATATATTATGTATATAATCTATTTAACTTCTAAAATATTATATTTTGTATCTTAAAAAATCGAAAAAGATTGAAAAAAAAATAAAATGAAATGGCGAAAAAAAAGAAGCCTAATTAATGCTTTTAAATGTTTAGTATGAACACAAATAAAATTTTGATTGTTTTGTATAAACAAAATTACCAATTAAGTTATTTCGAATAACCTTTCTAGTTTTATTTAAAATAATACACACTGTTTTTGGAACAAAAGTAAAACACTTTTGATCCAAAAACAAGTATTTCTAGATTTTTAAGTTAACAGATAAATTTTTATTTTAAATAAAACTTGGCATATATATTAATAAAAATATCATTAAAGTTTTTGTAAAAAATGTACTAAATAATGTATTGTTTAGTTACTCAACATTATAAAAATAACTTTTAACACAAAATATTGTTTTTTGCAATTACCTGTTGGGCGATAAAAATTATCCATTGAATTTTCTACATTTTTCTAAACTTTTGACTTACGTCAGAAATTTATTGTTACATTTTTAGGCAATAATATTAATGCTGATAAAAACATTTTTTAATACAATGGAAACTACTTAGTTTACATAAAGTAAAATGTCATAGAATGTACTGTTTATATTTTTATAGGCCTTATAATTAAGCATATATGGTAAAATCCTGCAAAAAGCTTTTTAGAAAAATACTGCATAGGCTTTTTAGAGCCAGCCACTGCTAGTGAGCCTGACTTTCTTAAAAGAACCTCCCAGCTTATTTCTACTATATAAAGAGAATTTTGGTGTGCTTGATGAGCTTGGGAGTTTTGTGAAAATGAAAAAATGTTTATATATTTATATACACTTACTATGCGTATTTTTATAAGAATTTGCTCACTTTTTTTGCTTACCTTAACCCATACGGCTTTTTTAGAAAAAGAAGAAAAAAAAAGAAAGAATGACGAATGAAACGATTGCTGCCCCATCCTAAACCCTTAGTCGATGTAGCAGCACTTGACTGCGAGTCAGGTTATTTGTCAGTCAATGTATGTACTGAAGCCCTCAGCAGCAGGCTATTTCAGTATGACATCAGATTCCTTACTTTAGTACGCAATACTATTTGTATATATATATATATATATATATATATATATATATATATATATATATTATATATATATATATATATATATATACACACACATATATATATATATATATATATATATATATATATATATATATATATATATATATATATATATATATATAAACATTTTAAGGCTTTTTTTATTTACAATCTGTAGTATTTTTTGACAGAAAAACAATAATGTGAAAATTTGGAATTTTTTAAATAAATATGCAATCTATCAATTAGGGTACAAGATTTAGTTAGTAGTCTTTTTTTAAAAAAATATTAGATCTATTAGTCTTTTTAAATAAAACTATTTTTATATAAATTGCTTACTTTTACTTTAACTTCATAAAGTTTTGAATTATTTGTTTAAAATTAAATCATAATACCTTAGTTCCAACAAATGGTAAACAACGCAGTTTTTTGAAAAAGAAGCGTTTCATGACATTGAAAAATCCTATGAAAAAAGTTTTTAGAGAAAATGATAGAAATTTATTTAACTTTAATAACTTAATTTAATGAGACAAATGAAAATTAAAAAAAATTAAAAATTTAACAGTTTAAAATTTACTAATAAATTTTTTTTATTAAAAAAATAAAAGTGAACTAATAAGATTTACAGAATGCTTTTTTTTTCAAAATATAGTAAACAAACTACCATAATAATTACTATTTTTTTGTCTGAAAATCTTTTTATGGTCTTTTATTTATATATAATTCATTTTATTTATATATAATAATGCAATATTAGGAAAAATTTTTTAAAATTATATTTGGCAATTCATTTAACTTTAATGGACACCCACAGATAAGCAAATAGATATTTTTTGTTACTTGGTTAACTACTTGTGTAAAAATCAAAATTTTTCATCAAAAATTAATTTAATAATTGCAGCAGCCTGTCAAAAAAACATAAAAAAATAAATATGATAAATTAAACATCCCGTCACAGGCATAATAAATAGGGTAAACAGTTGAAATAAACTATTAAACTTTTTACTGTGGAGTTTCTAAATACAAGCAACCACCAAAAAAAAATTAAAGAGCTATACTCATATGACATATACTCTTATGGCATATACTGAAGCATTTTGAGTGCTTTTTAAGTTCAAAAGGGGAATTCAATTTATCATAAAGTGGAAATAACAATCAGCTGAAAGAAAAATTGTTTATTCAAATAAAAATTCAAGTATACTAATTTAATTATCTCTGATTAACATCACTTATAACAGTGTCATAATCATTATTAGCAAGATTGTAGTAATAAGCATTTTTACCCTTTATCGATGGCGCACTTATTTGACATACTACATTGTTGAAGTCAACCCAATATTTTTAATGATGTACTACTTAATTGTGCATCATTAGTCCATTTTAAATTTTATTTGTTTCTATGCATAAACTTCACATTAAGACCTTGGTTTTCATTACAAATCTCAACCACAAGTCCTATGTACAATTCATCGTCCTAAAAGCATGCAAAGTTTCAGGTTGAAAAATTAAGGGATTATTTTTATTAAAGATAACATTATTAAGCAAATGAGCTTCATAGACAGTATCATTAGAGATTCTCCATAAAAATAGTTTCACTCTATATAGTACATAACAGTGATAGCTTCTTATGGCCAGAACTGTGAGCATCATGTAGGTTAAAAAAAATTTGATAGTTTTTTTATTATATCTTGAAAGATAAAAAATACCTTTGTCATCTTAATCATCTTAGATCTTTAATATTTTTGAACCTAACTGTTGACTTGGTGTTAGAAGCTGATCTGTAATTGTTACTTTCAGACTCACGTTTGCTGTTTCTCTTTTTTAGTTTCTCCAATGGACTATCTTTACAGTTTTATAGTTTTTCTTTTGCGATGCGATGTAACAAAAAAGTGATGATCATTAAATAAATACTGAATTTATTTAATGATCATCAAGGTAATAGATTACAATTTAGTATAAATATATTAGACATTTGAAACTTTCGCACTGTTAAGCAGCACTTTCACTGAAGTATTTTACTTTATTGCAAATCAACATAGCATAATTATAGCAAGATTCTGCTTCCAAGACAATAATGCACTGCTTTGACTTAACTCGCAGAACTTTTTTCATAGTTGTGTTCAGGGTATAACTTTTTAAACTCCAGATGAAATTCCTTTAAACAAATTAATATTAACCATTTTTATTTATGAACTTTTACATTATTTACATGCACAGAAGCAAATTTTTATTTCGTAGAAAATATTTTGAAAGTTTTTTTTGATTGACCAGGAATTTATCTTTGTAACAGAACTTTTTCTTCCTTCAAACTTTTTCACTACATTCATTCTTCAAACTTTCACTTTTTCCTTTATTCTAAAAGTTTATCTAAATCATTTTAATTATCATAAACAGTTTATGTACATTAGCTCTTTTTCTGATATTTTTTTATTACATCTTTTATGTTTATATTCAACGCTAATGCTACTAAGTCTATCATACTTGTTTTCAGTTTTTAATTTTTTACTGTCCATATGCTAATTTGTCACATTTACTTTCATTTTTGAGAGGAGATATTTCCAATAAAAATGCACTCATTTAAAACTGTCTTATAATAGATCTGACCATCTATATTCTTCTTCATTATCAACTTTATCTTGATTAACTTCTTCTGTAATTTGTTAAAGTTTCATTCATAAAGTTAGTATAAAGTTTTTAACCAGGTTTGACCTTAAATTCATTGTTGATATTTTAGGTTTGACCTTAAATCGACTGTTGATATTTTTATAGACTTTAAACAATCTCTTTATTTTTCTTGTGGAGATCACAACAGTATTTTAAAGATGCTTCAAATCAAGAAATAAAGTTTTGTATTAAAAACATATCTCCTCATTCTTCATGTCAAGAAATAAAGTTTTATATTGAAAACATATTTCCTCATTTCTTCAAAGGTGTATCTTGTCTTTTAAACTTTTCACAATATCTTTTAGCTGTATCATGTCATAGTCGCAATCTTTATTTGAAACTTTCCCAATATTTATTTTTCATTTCTATTATTTACTTATCTAAAATAATTAAAAGTTTAAACATTACAAACTTTTTTGAAATTTTTTTACTTATTTAAATTTTTTCAATAGTAAAATGTGTTAAATTAAAAAAAAATAATTTAAAATCTTACAAAGTCATAGGGCTACAATCATGTCATAAGACAGAGTAAAGGTCTATAAATATTTTTTTGGTGATTGTCTATATAGAGCACATCTAAAGTAAAAAGTTTAATAATTTATTTCAACTGTTTACGCTATTTTCTATGCATGTGAAAGAAATATAAATTATCAAATTTTTTTTAAAAAAGTGATATTTTGACAGTATATTTTAATATTTTATCAGGCTGCTGCAAATGTTAAACTGGCTTTTAATGCATAACTTTAATTTTTGGTATAAGTTAATACCCCAAGTATATAAGTTATTATGCCAAGTACACAAATGTAACAAAAAGTAATTTGCTGTAACTGTCAGTATGTATTAAATTCAAAAAAAAATTTTCTTAATACAACATAATTTAGCTTAAAATTTATTCACAATCAGTCAAAAACAACCACAAAAATGGATTATTATAGTGAAAAACATTTACTATAAATTTCATGTTTTTCTTATTTACAAAAATATGCTCCAGATTCTCAATTTATTCTGATTTTGGTCAAAATTAATTCAATCATAACTTTTGAATGAATTGGTCAATCGAGCTGAAATTTTTATAAAATCTGTGCTTGGTCAAATTTAAAGCAAATCTGAGGTAGTAATATAGGGCATCGTTTAAAAACTTGTTGATTTCATATGGAATAAGCTTTTTGCAATTTTTTCACGATAAAGAATATATAAAACTAAAATCAGTTGTAAAAAATAAAATTTTTAAAAAACCTGTTTGGATTTTTTGGGGTTTTTTTAAAAGTGGGTTACTTAGCCTTGGAGTATTCTAATATTTGATATACAATAACAATGGATGGTACTAAAAAAGAAAATGTTGAAAATAATAACTCTTTAGTAAATCCATGTCATCTAACAGGATCATACTATTATTCTTTGAGATATAGTGTGGGGTTTTATCAACAACCTTTTAAATATTATTCTAACAACTGTATCAGGAAGGCAATAAATATCTAACAACTGCTATATGACAATAAATCATCAGCGAGACTTTTAACTGACTCTTTTATAGTCTAATGCAAAATTCTTGATTCTTTTATCAGACCTTGTTCCCGTTTCATCTTTGATGCATGGGAGTTAGATACCTATTACATGGGAGATAAATATATATATATATATATATATATATATATATATATATATATATATATATATATATATATATATATATATATATATATATATATATATCATCTGGACTGAATAAAAAAAATAACACAAGAATAAAAATTTCAAATAATATTTGAATATTAAATATTTTTTTAAACGTATAACAAATAATTAAATTGTAAATTATTTTAGTAGCTTTTTTTTAAGAAAAAAAATTATTACCTTCATCATTAAAAAAAATAAAAGGCACAAGAATTCTTAAAACTTCAAGCACTACAAACATCCCAAAACATACGATTGCAGTGTTTACAACAATCTATTAAAAAAAGAAATAATCGTTGCAATATTATAATCTTCTATTAAGTTATATTTATAAAAAACTAGCAGTAAGCAACCCGTAATACGCACTGTTAGTAAATAAAATTAAAAAAAAAAACCTGTATAGAAAAGACGAGAAACTACTTTAAAATGAAAAGCCTAGAAAATGACGTAACTCGACTAATAATAATATTAAATTAGCGTATTCATATTATCAGAAGTATAGAATATGGAAACTCTTTCAACTCATAAAAGAGAGGAACAGTTATCATTAAACTTTGTTTAATAAAAAGCTCTTTCTTTTCTTAAAGAACAGAGCAGTAAAAAATTTTACTGCTCTGTTCTTTAAGAAAATCTTCTACTTCATCTAACTAACATTAAGAAATAAAAATTTTTTGTTAAGGACAACCTAATTACTGTTATTAAAAAAGAATAACTGAATGAAAGGAATGACTTAGTAATTTAAAAAAAATACCCTTGTACACAATATGAAAAAATTAAAAAGAAATTAAACCATGCCAGAGAATAAGAATAATCTTCAGAGTTTTTAAAAGATGGAACTACAGATGCTACAAGATTCAGTTAGAGACTTGTCAGAGAGTAACTATAGGAGTACTGAAGATAAGTAAAAGATACTTGTAAGAGTGTGACAAATATTGTCTGAACCAAGTTATAAAAATGTTTAAATTGTAATAATAAATCTACATTTGTTTTTTTTACTGTCTTTATGAATATCTTTACTTAATATATATATACATTTGCAAATACCCCCAAGGGTATAATAAACATTATAAACATTATAAACAATATAATATACGTGCCCACAACATTCTTTCTGATGCAACACAATAATATTTCAAAGGTTGAATTAAGCGATGGCGAAATAAAAAATCCGGAAAAATTTCTGGTCTTCAAATGTTTAGTTTATGCAAAACCGTGTTCTTTGTTTTCAAGGGGCGTATCAATTTAAATTTGTTAGCAAAAAAGTTATAAAAAATAAAATAATAAACTTATGACTACAAAAATAATAACACTCTAGTAACTAACTACATTATAAACGTAATAACACTATAATAGTGTTATTACTTTTACAACGCACATTTAACTTTTATAATTTATTTTTTGTTCAAACAACATAAGTAATCCCAAATTTTAATTGAAGTAAAAAAGCATCTAGAAAAACAGAGTGGATATTCAAATAACATTTACAACTCATTAAGGAACTAAATTTACAAATTATTAAAGAACTTCAACAACTTTATAAAGACTGTATAAAATGTTTAGCATTATTAAAAAACGCTACTAAAAGTCGGTAAAAATGTGTGTTAATTTTAAAATCAACCAATAAACACGTTTTATTTTTATTATAAAGTACGTTTTTATAAAGTTAAAGTTCTTGAAGTTTTTAATAATATTTGAATACCCACTTTATTTTATCTTGATGCTTTTTTACTTTGAAATAAGTTTTGAATTACTAATGTTGTTTGAACAAAGAATGAACTTTAAAAGTTTTAAGTGCTTTATAAAGGTAATAACATTATTATAGTTTTATTACTTTTATAATGCACTTAATGACAAGAGAATAATACTTTTGTAGTCATAAGTTTATTGTTTTGTTTTTTACAACTTTTTATAACTTTTTCGCTAACAAACTTTTAATAATTTGCTCCTTGAAGACAAAGTACACAATTTTACATAAACTAAAACTTTAAAGACCAGATATTTTTTCAGATTTTGCAAATCGCGATCGCTTAATTCAACTCTTGTATTTTATATATAATACAATTATTTACGCTAATTTTTTAAACCCCTTGATCTCTAGATCACATACTTCCACATACTTATTCAAAAATTTTTTGAGATTCAGGTTATCCACAATAAGTTCTTCCGATTCTCTAGTATACAAATCAGCTAAAATAGGAGCAGGATGGATGTCCGACATGTGTCTCAGGAATCCATTGATTTCTACCGAAACTCCTCATCCTTCATCTGAGACTCTTCCTCATTTTGAGTTAGGTGGTTTTACAAATACTTCTTGCCCTTGTGTATTGTTGTGGAGAACTTCCTTGTTAGTTTTGGCAGAAATTGTATGTGGTTTTCACTCAGGAAAACGTTGTAGGGGAGCAATGTTTCCTCGCCATTTTTTCTGGGAGCCACATTATACCAATATACCATTTTTAACGGATCTTTGCCGCTTCTGGCTGCCATATGCTTGATTGTGCGATGATGAAGTTTAACAATTCCATTTCCAGATGGCCAGTAAGCGCAACAAAACAGGATGGACACTCCCCATTCTGTGCATAATTCACTAACGAGTTTTTAGTGAAAGGTCTTGCTGTTGTCAGAAGAACTTGCCACAGAGGTCCTCCTCAAGGTAATACAATCAAATCCCCATTTTGTTGCTAAATTAATTCTTTTCATCACAGCATCTAACTCTGTGAGATTAATGTGAGCTGCATCATCTTGTTTCCTTAGCCACGAACAGTCTTCTACTATTTCCCCAGCCACTTCCAGAACCATACTAACAGCTAAACTGCTTGCATCGCATCACACTGTTGCTTCAGAAGTGTTTTTGACATTCCATAACTAATGAACGGGATCTTCCTTTGTAAGTCTTTCATTTAAACTGCTTACTAATTTGGCAACACGATCATTCACCAAATAGTCCCATCCACAACTACTCAAAACCCTTTTTAGATAGCTGCACAAAGGGTGCAACCAATTTGCTATTGGAAAATGTTCGGTCAGTTGTCCGCACCAAGAAAAGATTTGCCGATGTGTCATTTTTCCTTCAGTATGTTGTCACGTTTCCAACGGACTTGGTTACATTGTTTGTACACTCGCAACCCAAGCACACGCCCACCGACAAGTTTTTCTGGCAACTTAGAATCCAAGCCATATTTTTTCAAGAGTTCTTGAACTCTGCAACTTGACACTGTTATAACTGATAATGATGTCATCAATAAACGAATCCGTTTGTTAAAGTTGGTGGTTCCATCAGCCATTTCCAAGACATGCTTCAACTGCCATTTTTAAATTCTGCTACAAAGTCTTTATCAATCAGCTTTTAAATAGTAGGCGAGGATACTTTATTTGTTTTTTCTTGAGAGACTGCAGTAGCGCCGATAGTTAGTTGCTCCACATTAAAGTTTATGGTTTTGCCATCTCTCCCGACTTGGACACTTCCGAGCAGTTGTATTACATCCATACCAAGTAGCATTTGATATTTGGGAACAATGTCAGCAACCAGGCATTCCAAACCGATGGTGGTATCATTTATAGAAAAATCAACAACAGTCAGGTATTTTACTTCAATTGACTTTCCAATCATCATAACAACTTTTTCTCTTGCGTGTTTGACATTTTTTATGTTTACAATATCCCGACTTAAAATTGATTTGGGGCATCCAGTATCCAACAACGCTTTTATTTTTCTTCCATTGACATATACGTAGAGAGTTGTGTACACTTTTTATAGCAGTGCTGGGCCAGGTGATTGTCCATTCCACACACAAAAGCACCTCGTCTTCTCAATTTCTTTGCTGCAGTTTCGACAACAGGATTCATGCAACTGACAAAACATGATTCTTTGTGACATAAGATTACCAAACCTCTTGATTTTTCAGCAATCTGGCACAGCAACATCGTTGATATTGAGCATACAGTTTGCAGCTGTTTTCTTGCTTCGTCAGATAATCCAAGAATAAATGTGCACCTTATCCACTCTTCGCTTACGTGAGATGATATTAGCTTACTCAGCCTTGTTAATTCTGCGAGATATACATCAATGGTCTCGTTTTCTTTAAGACGGCGATTTACAAACTCTTCGTTTGCTCTTAGTGGAGAGGCAGAGAATGAAGTGGCCAGTGCAGTTTTCACTTTATTGTAGTCTTCTTTTTTCTCATCACTAAGACCTTGATATTATTGTAGTAGGGTCAATTTTTACCAGAGAGACAAAAGAAATCAGCTTCTTGTGGAACAAATAAAACTTCTAATTAAGAATAAAAAAGTAGAATAAAAAAGAGAAATAAGGAGATAAAACCATGCAGTGCAATAAAGTGACTTGAAATCAATGAAGAAATCTTATTAAGTTAAAAAGAATAAAATTTTCTGTCTGTTCAAAAAACTTAATTGGATTTCAGTCGAGTGAAAAACAAAGACTATCACAAAAACAAAATCATGAAAAGTAATTCAAATAAGCTTTAAGGTGATATATAGTAAGACATGCAATAATAAGATGAATTTAATGCGAAGGAAGAACAAAAAAAAAATTTTTAATAAAATTATGGCATTGCCTGAAACCACATAAAAAAAGAACAAGAAGAAACTGAACCCAATTTAAAGCTGAATAAGATTCCACTGATGACTAGTTACTTTGAAAATATAAATTCAAACATAGATAGAAAAGATAGTAATAGCTCGAGATTTACTATTAAAAATAAATATTTGATAGACTCTAAACAATAAACTGCAGCTGCTTATCAATCCAAAACAGTAGTAATAAACTCTATATGTGGTGTCAACTATGTACACCAAAATTGTCAACAAGGACACTGTCCACAAGCAAAATGGAGCTATTTTTACACTGATATATTAAGTTACATTGAATATTGAGAATGCAATAGTAGCAGTTTAAATTTTAATGTTATTAAACAATAATAAATTTCACTTTTTTAAAACTATTTTTTTTGTCTACTTTTTACTATCTTATTGTCAAAAGATTTTTCAAAACTATACTAATAGTTTTTATTGTTAAAATTTAGGTTAAATTTTAAGGTTAAAATTTAAGGTTAAATAAAATTAAAATAATATTTAAGGTTAAAATTTTTTCAAAATCTTGATTACTAATAGATTTTATTTGTTTACTTAAAAATAATACCAAAAAAAAAACTCATGGAATACACTTTATGAATGATTCAGTATAAATTATAATATATATATATATATATATATATATATATATATATATATATATATATATATATATATATATATATATATATATATATATATATATATATATATATATATATATATATATATATATATATATATATATTAGAAATGTACAAATTTAAATTATCTTTTAACAGTAATGACTTAACTGAAAAAAAACATGCTGATATGGTAAGACAGGTAAATTCTGCTAACTTGTAAAATAAGGTTTGTTAATTAACAAGGTTTATTAATTACCGTTCCTTACTTTTGTTCATAAAAAAACATTATTAAATTAAGTTTTTATCAATCCTAAAAATATTTATGTTAACCAACCTCCCAGTTTTCTAATCCACGTGTCTTGCTGTGAATGAAGAGTCGTAACTCAGCCATATAGTAAACAAATGTCCACTAACATTAAAAAAAAACAAAAATATGTAAAAGCTAAAATGATTTTAGAAAATACTAGTCAATTAGAAAAAGATATAGACAACAAATTAAAAAAAAAAAAAACTATTTTAAAAAAGGAAGTTAATAAAAAGAATAATTAGTTTTACTGCAATGTTGAATAGGGTAATTTTATGGATTATAGTATAGTATATTTTAATATATATATATATATATATATATATATATATATATATATATATATATATATATATATATATATATATATATATATATATATATATATATATATATATATATATATAATATATATATATATATATATATATATATATATATATATATATATATATATATATATATATATATATATATAAATTTTTTCTCATTTAACACTGTGTTTCATAAATAAAGACTCATCAGAAATTTCTGATGATTTCTGATAAGTCATTATTGATGAGTCTTTATTGATGAAAAGCATTTCTGATGAGTCTTTATTGATGAAACACAGTGTTAAATGAGAAAAAATTTTGCTAAGTGATTTTCTACTAACTTGTAATTGCTCTGTTCTTTTAAGAACATTGAGCACTCTTTTTGTAGAATACATTTTAAATTGTTTATATATATGTGTAAGTGTATATATATATATATATATATATATATATATATATATATATATATATATATATATATATATATATATATATATATATATATATATATATATATATTATATATATATATATATATATATACATATATATATATATATATATATATATATATATATATATATATATATATATATATATATATATATATATATATATATATATATATATATACACACATATATATATACACACATATATATATACACATGTATATATACATTTATTAACACACACACACCACACACACACACACACACACACACACACACACACACACACACATATATTAATGGTCTTTAGTACGTTTAGTATGTTGAGTTAATGCAAATTTTCATTCTAACAAAAAATAATTCTCAGATAAAACATACGCATAATTCATTCCAATGCAAATGCTCAGGTAAGTGTGGTTCGATTGTTTGAAGAAAACTCTCCCAAAGTAAAATCCATTTATCGTAAAGTATTTCAGAAACTACAGCCATCACGTATTACAAATAGCTTTTTAATTTATATAACTAAAAAGCTATAAATGAGCAAGTTCTAGTTGGTTAATGTCATAACTTAACAGCTCGCATTGAATGTGATTTGTTTACAATCACAGTCTTTAATAACATATTATGTGACGTAATTCAACTTTTTTTTTTTTTCGTGCGCGCAGTTTTAAGAAAGTGCCTGCTAATCTTATTCGGGTTAACTCGACCTTATAAAAGGTTTAGTTAACATGAATAAGTTACAAGTGCTTGACAAAAATTTAGAAAACAGCCACAACAAAAAGCAAAAATTCGTCGCTTAAAATTTTATAAAAATGGCTTTTAAATTCAACTTTGACCTAGGGTAGAGTAAGGGTATTATTGCTTTTTGGAGCAAACAACCCAAAAAACACCGTGCATTTGACAATTTTTTTGTTTTAATTCACCTCCCCAAGGCCATGAAACCATTACAGTTGAAAAGGCTACCTTTAGTTGTGGTTACAACCCTCTCTCAACTTTATAACTCCGAAACTTGAACTTTGAGGAACAAGGCCGCAGAGCGGAGAAACAAGTTGTGCGCGATTCTACCAGGGACATTGTGGGGATCGAAATCTGATCTTCTTTCTTTGCTTGTGAGGCGAGCGCTTTACCACTACACCACTACTGCTTTGAGGTAAACAACCCAAAAAAACACTGTTATTTTCAATAGATTTAAAAATTGTTAAAGATTTTATTCGTAAGTTAGTAAGTGTTGCAAAAGTTAATTATATTATCAATGCTTGTGCAAAAAAGTAAAGAAATATTTTTTTGTAGGCTAGTTTTTCAATAATATTCTATAGTAGAATAATAATAATAATTTTTTTCAACATCTTACCACTGCCATGGGGCAAGATTTTCCTTTCTATCATTTTTATTTTTTAAATTTTTACCAATAATAAAGACGTTTTTTTTATCTCATAAATATCTTCTCCTATTAGTTAACGTTGGCAAAAAAAAAAAAAAAAAAAATTTAAAAGTATTTGTTGAGGAAATAGTTTGTTAATCAGCCCTCGGAGTTAGGAAAAATGAGGTCGGCAAAAATCTGCCAACCTTAATCTGCTTGAGCGACCTCAAGCATCAAGTCGGCAAAAAAAAAATTGGTAGAAAAATTTTACCATGAAACATAAAAACAAGGTCAGGGATTTTTTGCCAACCTCAAGCATTTTTAGGTCGGCTTTTATGCCGACCCTAATTATGAATGAAATATGTTCTTTTTTTGTGATTGCTTATCCCTGTAGAAGGCTATTTTTTGTTTTTAAGTTATTTTTTCAGGCGGTTTAAGACACTTGATTGAAACAAGTTGCTAATAAAAAAAAAAAAAAAATATATTAATAAAATTTTTTTTATTTTCTCTATTTCACATAGAATTCTTTATTGCAGATTACCAAAAACTTGGTATAAGTGTAGATACTTCGGACAGCATAAAAAAATTAAAATTTATTTATTTATTGTGAACTTATGTAATCAGTGTTTTTAAACGATTTGTTGTCGTGCAATCGAAGAAACTATTAACTCGGATATCATCATTTAACTCACCGCAACTAATAGTCCATAATCAACATGATGTCCTCAAAACAAAAAACGTTTTATGTGTACGAATCTTTTAAAATCTGTAAATGGTCGCAGTATTGCATTAGAAAAACAACAGATTTTGTATATAATTATAAAAACAACAGTTGTATATAACTATAAAAACAACAGATGTTGTATATAACAACAGATGTTGTATATAACAACAGATGTTGTATATAATTACTTTAAATAGGTATTTGATTCTCTATTTCATTTTAAATTACTATCAAACCTACTTTGTTTAACAGAAAAAGAAATTTTATAAATTGGATTGCTAAATTTTTGACCAATACATATCAATAAGTTTATTATCAAACCTAACATTACTAGTGGAGTTTTTAAATATAGCATGTTATGTCCAATATTATTCTTTCTATATATTAACTATATAATCGATATATCAATATAAACTATATAATCGATATATCGATATAAACTATATAATCGCTATAGTTAACAATCTTGATTGCTCTTTAAAGCTTTATGCCGATGACATCAAATTACACAGTTCATTTTCCCAGTGGGCACCGGATTAAAAAAAGACGTCTTTTGAACGTCTAAAAGACGTCCAACACGTTCAAAAGACGTTCAAAAGACGTCCAAAACGTGTATAAGACGTTTAAAAGATGTCTTTTTTACGTCCGTGTCCACTGGGTTGCAATAGAGATCATAACCACCACACAGTTAACGATCTTGATAAAGTTGTACTGGTCATAAAACATGGCAATTATTACTTGCTTACAGTATTTTCTGCATAGGATTGCGCCTGGTTCTTTAAGAAAATGAAATATTTCCTTATCCAATATCGATATCCAACTCTGGATTTTCATCGAAATTATAAAAAACATATTTTGTTAACGAGAACTATAATAATTTTGTTAACGAAAATATCAACACTAAACAGTATTTTTAATTTTAGTTCGATCACCTAGACTTTTTAAGGGACAATACTAGATCTTGGTGGTGAGGTTGTTTGGTAAAATTAGCTTCTGCCTAATTTTATTTATAAGCTAATAAAAAAATAATTAACATTTTATGTTTTTAATTGATCGAAAAACTAATAAAATAAAAAAAGACATTTTACCAAGTAAAAAACGGCTAAGTCCATAAAAATCCTCACTTAAAAAAGAAAGCCTATAACGTAAATTATATTTAAAATAAAAACACAACTTTAATTGCATAAAAAATTAGTTCTGTTTGTGATATATCTTAAAATATTTAATTCTTTCCCTAAAAATAAAAAAGTTATATATTTATATATATCTTTATATATATATATATATATATATATATATATATATATATATATATATATATATATATATATATATATATATATATATATATATATATATATATATATATATATATATATTATATATATATATATATATATATATATATCTTTATGATTATCTTAGCTTAAAATTATTTTATTTGCATTCTAGCACTCTTTAAATAACAAATAACCTTTTTTCGTTGTTTCTGTGTATTTTTATTCAAGTCCTGTGAAGAATTAGTTGGTCTAAACTACATTTAAAAACACCAAGTTTTGGCTACTTCAGTCTAAATTTTAAAAATACGTTGAAAACCTGTTAAATCTCATCCTTTTTTTCCGTTTTGTCCGTATTAATATTATTTAAAATTTTGCCAAAAATTTTAATAATTACTTATTATTATGTAATTAAATATACTGATATAAATCTTTGTATAAAATTAGCTTCAGTATAATGATAAATGTTTAAAAACAGTGTGCACGAATTTTAGAAACCGATTCCCAAAATTGTTTTCAGAACCGAAAAATATTCGAGTTTGTACAACAAAGTTAAAATTGTTACAGATAAATTTAAACATTAAAAAAAAAAAAAAAAACATTATAAAAAAAGAGATATATATAAGCTGATGTCCTTCATTCCGCCTATTTCAAAAAATAACTTTCAAGTATATATATCAATTGAGAACAATAAATCAAAAGGTAAAAAAAAGAAAATTGAAACATCAAACCCAAAAAATTGTGTTGAAAAATTAAAACTTGCTTTATCCGATATTAAAAATATGTTCAAATCTGCTAAAGTTCATAATAGCAATATGAAAAAAACACTTGCATCTGATGACTCAAGAATGACATATAAATTATTACATGCAAGTAATAAAGCAAAGACTCCAGAACTAAAAAAGAAAAAAAAACAACAAGGAAATAAAAGAATTGAAAGGTTACTATAATAAAGTCATTACAAACCTTAATAAAACAGTTAAACTTTTGATAGGTAGGTTTGAAAAAAGTGACAAAAAAAATGCACTCAATCTTAAGAAAAAAAGAATTGCATGCAAAAAATTATATAATGTAAACAAGAAGTATAGCATGGTAGTAAATAAACATAAAAAAATTTCTTCTAATAGTTTAAGTAATCCTAAAAAAGATATTGGTCCTCCTAACATGGGAGAAAAATTATAATACAAAGAAAATAAAGGTTTGAACACTTTAAATTGTCTTCTCCTTCGACAGCAAAATAGTAACATTGCAAAATTGAAGATATTCTAATGACATAGAGAGGTTATTATGAAATTAGTTTCTTTGAATATAAGCATGAATAAAGGTAATGAGGTTATCATCATTGTTTTCAAAATCTAGCAAAGTTAAATATAGAAAAGTTTGCCTCAATTGATACAAAATCGCGGTTTATGACTGAACTATTAGCACTTACTCAGCTTGAAATTGCAGAATAAATGATACATACTGTAGTACCACTAAATACCATAGACATTTTCAAAACTTCCAAGTTACTACAACAAGTGGAAGTACTGTATCTTTTAAATTACTTGAAACGGTTGGAAGTGATGCAAATTATACTATAAATGCGTTAACTAAAACATTAGATGATGTATGTGACATTTTAGACAATAGCAGCAACTTAAAAAATTTTTCTAACCTTAAATGTTCTTTTAAAACTACCATGTCTTATCTTGTGCCGGTTAATTCATTGTTTAATTTAAAACTTAAAGATATGAGAAAAAAATTGCTACCTAAAGTTATAAAGAACTTTAAATTCCATTGGAATGTCAAACGTTTTTTGTAAATTGCATTTACTAGCAAACATTATAACAAAAACTGATAAAACAATTAAATCATTTAAAAAGTTAGTTTTAAACAGTAGTTATAAAAACAGTTTTTTATTCAATACTGGAGAATCAGGTGCGACTAGATTGATAAGAACTGCATTTAAATCTTTCATGTTAGGGAGGGGGGGAGGGGATGTGATGAAGCTGGAGTTGCTGGGTATTTGAATGCATTTCTTGCTGGTAAAAGACAAAGTAAGTGTAAGCTAGCACCCTTTGTTGATAACCAATTTAATATAGTTTATTATAATACTGCAACTTTTTGTTCCAAGGATATCTGGGAGTTTCTTTAAAATTGGCCAAATCTAAATAATCTTTTACAAGCAGTTAAAAAAAATATTATCAACAATTTATATTTAGCAGAAGTTCGGGCTCTTGGAATAGTTGATAAAATGATTACTGGCTCACTTTG